AGAAAGAAAGAAAGAAAGAAAGAAAAGGAAAAAAAGAAAGAGAAAAGAAAAGAAAAGAAAAAGAAAAAAGGTTCTAGGCCATTTGCACCTTATTGTCAGTAAAATGCTCATATGATACCCTGACATGAGTAAAAAGTTGATACACTCACCAGCCAAAAGCTTACTTTGTCTAGAACACGGCAGACCAAATTGAATTAGCTTTTTTGGGGGTAGTAGCCACCTTACACTGTGATTTTAGATTGAGTTTGTATTCAGTTAAAGCTATTAGTGGCATTTGTAGATGTTGCTACTGAGCTAAATGTCACTTATTTGTTTGCTGGTCAGCAACACCTGGAAACTGGTTAGATATACAAAATAGCACTGAATCTGCATTTTCACAAGTTTCCTAAGTGATTCCTACCAAACTTGTGTCCTATTCCATACTATGAAGGTAAGGTGAGATGGTAGGATGGATGTTTGGATGATATTAATTTTTATTACTTTTAGTAAATTTCAAGATATCTTTTTGTATTTTTTTGTCTTCATCTAAAATTCTGGTAAAAGGAATATCAAAACTGGCTGTAATTTGAGTTTATTTTCATTTAAAAAAAAGCAAAGACATCATCTCCCAAACACAGTTTTTATGATAGTTTTACTTTATGTAAAAAGTGAATTACCTTTTTTCTTCACATGCAGAATGTCTGAAATGAAGTACTACTTTTATAAATAAAATTATAAAAGATATTTTGAAAAAGCATTTTTCTTAGCAGAATTTAATATCTCTTTTCCAAGTAGTGGTTTAAGCAGCTTTATTTTAAGATAATTTGCTCCCTGGCATTGTTTGTGAAATGTTTTTAGCTACACAGCCTTTGTCATCAAATGGAAACACTTGTGGAAGCAGCATGCAGAAATCATGGAAGTTCCCTGTAGGCATGGCCACATAGACATATAGACAGTAATTATTTGGAGAGTTTACTTTTCCATTTGAGTTTACTTCTCCATTTCCAAAGTAGAATTTGAAACCATATCTAACATTTTGCCAATACTTTTCCTTAAGTGTAAGATCTTTCCTTGTAATTGTCCCTGATCACCTCCTGAGCTATGGGGCTCTGAGAATTTTCATTGATGAAAATGATTTCCTAAATCCTGCATCTTTGGCTCTAACAACTTCAGTGACTTATTTTTCCTTTGTAATGGTAAAAATATTATACCTTTTTAATGGTGAAAATATATTTGCTAACATTATAATCTGAATTCCAGATTTCATAAAGATGGTATTTTATTCATTCTATGTTTGAAATGCTGATATTGAACTTAATAGACAAAGGGTATGAGTAATTTACATGGTGTTGTCTTTGCATGTATTTTCTAGGGATGTCCTTTAACTCCATTGCCTCCAGTCAGTATTGCTATTCGATTTACCTATGTCCTTCAGGATTGGCAGCAGTATTTTTGGCCTCAGCAACCTCCAGGTGAGATCATTTAGAACTATATTGGACTTACTGAATATAAATGGAAAGAAAAATAGGGGCCAGCAGGTGGTGTGGTGGTTAAAGCACAGGACTCCCACATGGCTGACCACATTCAAGTTCCAGACCCAGCAGCTTGAAAACCATGCCAGGTGTGTGTGTGCCCAAAATCCTGAGAGGAGAATGGAGGAGAAAGGATTGTGGTGTGGCCATCTCTAGGGGGGTGATTTTTCATCCCACCTCTCTCTCTCTCTCTCCCCCTGGTGAACACACGTGCCCTATGATAAAAACCTTAAGTATGTATATATATACATACATATATATATATTTAAATATTAAAATTATTTAATAGCATTTCAAGTGTTTATATTAGAAAATATTTGCTTCATTTTAAATGAAATATTACTGATTTTATTGCCTTTATCTTTTTTTATTTAAAATCTCTGTAGTTTAAATATTAAAATTATTTAATAGCATTTTAAGTGTTTATATTAGAAAATATTTGCTTCATTTTAAATGAAATATTACTGATTTTATTGCCTTTATCTTTTTTTATTTAAAATCTCTGTAGTTTCTTTAAACTGTAGTTTCTCTATGTTATTCTATATTTGACAATCTGTCTTTGAAAGCTAAAATTATTTATAAGGCATCCCATGCTGTGAAACTCTGTGTGCTTTAAATTACTATGTAGTGAATGATTAAAATGTCTGTTTTTAGAACATAATAAAAGAAACCACCCTCAGAAGCTAAGAACAGACAAGCAGAAAACCTTATAGAAAGAAGAATTTGAAGAAAGCTAATAAGGAAAGCAGAGAAGGAAAATGCATATGTATATATACACACGGAGAAAAAAAGGATATTTAACTTGCACTTAAAAGTATTGAAAGATCAACTTGCCTGCTTAGCTGTTGATAACTGATTCATTCAACAATTAATTATTAGCCTTTTGGCTGACATCAAGTATAATTATTAGTATAAGCCAGGCTGTAACAAGAACAGAAATATGAACAATTACGTAAGTTCTAGAAAAGCTTAGCCTAACGGATATATATCCTAATTAGGTGAGGTTCGGTTTCTGGGTGTTTCTTTCACATATGAGCAATTGTATTCAAGTATGTCTCATAAGGAATTTAGTACAAACTAATAATTACAAGGATTTTGTTAGCTGAAAACATTTTTTAGTACACTTTCCCTAGAGAGAAATAAAATAATACCTTTATAGTTTATTTTTGTTCTAGGTTGTTGGTTGTTTATAGGATTAAGAATAATAACTAGGTCAGCAGGTGGTGTGGTAGTTAAGGTGCCGGACTCCCACATGACCAACTGCAGTTTGAGTCCCAGACCTGGTAGCTTGCTTTCTCACTTTCCCTTTCTCTATCTCTGTCTCTCTCTGATGAGTGCATGTGTCCATAAATAACATTTAAATAAATAATTTTAATAATAATAATAATTAGAAGGCATGGGATGATTTCAGAATCAATGTGGTACATCCTTACCTTTTGTATACTACTGTATCTTATATACCACTCAATAACTGAAAATGCTGATGTACAGTAAAAGAACCTCTCTAAACTACAGCAAAAAGAAATAAAAGCTAAGCTTTGAATTTATATTAGGAGGGGAGCTGGCAGATGGTGTGATGCTTAAGATGCTGGACTCCCACATGGCCGACCACGGTTCAAGTCCAGACTTGGCAGCTTATTTTCTTGCTTTCCCTCTCTGATACTGGACTCCCATGTGGCTGACTATAGTTTGAGTCCTGGGCCTGGTGGCTTGGTTCCTCACTGTCCTCCCCCACCTCTCTCTCTCTCTCTCTGTATGTCTCTTGTCAAGTTAAAAATAATAATAAATAAAATTAAATAGTTCTTAAAAGAATTTATATTAGAAGAAAGATTTAAATATTTATGTTGGTGATTTTAATTCTTAGATAACAGTACATATTGAACAGTTTGTTTTCTATTTATAGTAAGTTTTAATTCCTACCCTCCATTTTTTTATTTCCAAAGCCACTCTATTACTAAGCAATTTTAAAGATTTCTTAAGGTTGTATGGTCTGCTGATGATCTAAGTCCAAGAGACAGAATGTTGGCATTGTAATTTTAATTGCCAGTAAGGTCTTTGCTAATGTTCTATTGCCAAGTATTTAAATGGTGATAAAAATATAAACTTTTCCTGTTCGTTCCATTGTAGCTCAGATATATTCTTAACATATTCTCTTATAAAGAAAAGAGACTGTGAATAAATAAATAAAATAATTATTAAAAAAAAAAAGGGACCAGAGTGGGCGTAGTGGCTAAGGCACTGGACAGGCCCACATGGCTGACTACAGTTCGAGTCCTGTGTCTCTCTCTGGTCAAATTAAAAAAAATATGAATAAATAAATAAGATAATTCTTAAAAAACAAAAAGAAAAGGGGACCAGCTGTTAGCGTAATGGCTATGTCACTGGACTTCCATGTAGTCGACTGCAGTTCGAGTCCCGGACCTGGTGGCTTAAACTCATGCTGGGCGCATGTGCATGCGTGCCCAAGATCCCAAGAGGAGAATGGAGGAGAAGGGATTGCAGCATGGCCATCCCCCCTGAGGGGTGATTTCTCACTTTCCGTCTCTCTGTCTCTCTCTGTCTTTCTGGTGAGCGCACGCACCCTATAGCAAAAACCTCTCCCCCCCCCAAAAAAAAGAGACTGAACAAGTAATATGGGACAAACACTGTGCTGGGCATTTTATATCCTATTTTATATAATTGTCATTTACCTATGAGATGAGTATTATTTTTTCTCAAGATGTAACTTCCTTAGAAAATGTTCCTTAAAAGATCATAAGAAATTAGTCCAAGGTCACATGTCATCAAATGATAAAGTTCATATTCAAACACTAGTCAAACTCCAAATCCCATGTTGGTTCTCAAGTTTTAACTGTGTTGAGACCAGCAGATGGCGTAATGGTTACGTCAGTGGACTCCCAGGGAGTCAACAGCAGTTCCAGTCCTGGACCCAGTGGCTTAAAACTCACGCCAAGTGCATGTGTGTGCATGCCCAAAATCCCGAGAGGAGAATGGAGATGGGATTGTGGCATGGCCATTCCCCTGGGGGAGGGGATGATTTCTCACTTCTGTCTCTCTGTCTCTCTCTATCTTTCCGGCGAGTGCATATGCCCTATAGCATAAACCTCTCCAATTAATAAATAAATAAATAAATAAAAGTATTGCCTTTTACTATCAACAAAAATATTTTATTAGTGATGATAAATTTGCAATTCAGAAATTATTGACAGTAAAACTGATGAATACAGGTTTGTGATTAAATTGTTTTAATTGCCAGAGGTTGCCTGCACTTGTCAAAAAGAAATAGAGAGGGAAGGGAAGGAGACAGAAAGCACTTTCCAATGAGATGTGGTCATATCATAATCCCTTCTCCATTTCTCCATTGTATCTGGATTTGGGGCATTCACACGCATACACCTGGTGTGTTTTTCAAGCTTCCAGGGCCTGGATTCAGACTGCAGTTGACCATGTGGGATCCAGCTTCTTTTAACTACTAGACTACATGGCCAGCCTGGTTATTAAATTTTCTAATGCTTGCATAATCCTTTTTAGATTATATTAATCACATTCTTAGAAAAGGTAGGAAAAAATCAAAGAAATAATCTCTCTAGTAATATTTATGGAGTATTTCAAAAGGGTAAAGTATGAATGCATGCATGGCTTGAATCTAACACTGAATAATAGAGATGATTGCTTTCTTTTACTATAACATTCTGAGGTGAAGTCTCTAATACTTGACTATAGATGCTATACCTTACTCTAACTTGCTTCATTGCTATATTTGTTTTCTTATAGGTACTGTTAAAACTATAATCTTCCAAATGGCTTAACCTCACTAGATTAGATTCTTATTTCTATTTGTTTGCCAATTAATGAAAGAATATTTCTTTCATTTAGATATAGATGCCCTCGTAGGAGGAGAAGTTGGAGGCCTGGAGTTTGGCAAGTTACCATTTGGTGCCTGTGAAGATCCTATTAGGTGAGAATTTCAACCCATCATTTGAATTTAGGGATTATTTTATTTTTCAAATTAATATTGATCCTGATTTACTGTGCTTTATGATACTGTAGGCTTTTGGAATAAATGTAGAAATGGAAATAGAACTGTGGCCTACCAGCCAAATCTGGTCACTATGCTGGTTTTATATGTTCAGTGAGCTCATAATGGTTTTTACATTTTTAAGTGTACAAGTCAGTGTTTTTATGTTTTGTTTTGTTTTTTTAAGTGTAGAGTTGTGTAACTATATTACTAATTCCAGTACATTTTCATTATCTCAAAAAGAAGCTCTACCTGTAGCCACCATTCTCCCTGATCTTTTTAGTCCCTCCAGCTCTAAGCAAATAATAATCTACTTACCATTTCTATGGATTTTGCCTATCCTGGACATTTCATATAAATGAAGTACAATACATGACCTTTTGTGTCTGACTTCTTTTCATAGCATAGTGTTTTTGAAGTTCATCCATGTTGTTGTAACCTGAATCAGTACTTCACTGCCTTTAATGATTGTAAATATGCCATTGTATCAATATACCCCATTTTGTTTATCCATTCAAATATCAGTTGATGGATACTTGGGTCATTTATAGTTTTTGGCTATTATGTATAACTTTTTTCATGTTTGTAAAACATTAATATGGATGTGCTACCTTTTTTGCTACCTTTTTTTTTTTTGGAGAGATTTTCGCTATAGGGCGCGTGCGCTCGCCAGACAGACAGAGACATAGAGACAGAAAGCGAGAAATCACCCCCCAGGGGGGATGGCCACACCGCAATCCCTTCTCCTCCATTCTCCTCTCGGGATCTTGGGCATGCATGCACACGCGCCTGGCGTGAGTTTTAAGCCACCGGGGCTGGGACGTGAACCGCGGTCGACTACATGGGAATCCAGCGACATAGCCATTATGCTAACTGCTGGTTCCCTTGCTACCTTTTTTTAAACCTATTGTTTCTAGGGTTTTTTTAATTGTACATAACGCTATTTGTACTATGATTTTCTTATGGAGAATATGTGTCTCAAAATACAATTGCTAAGTCAAGGGATATCTATATAGTATTAAAAGTTCTGAATAGATTTTGTTTTGTTTATTTTAGTGAACTCCATTTAGCAACTACATGGCCTCATCTGACTGAAGGAATCATTGTGGATAATGATGTTTATTCGTAAGTATGTTAAAAGTAGTACATTGAGATGAAAAATACTTCAGTAGAATTAATTAACTGCCAAGTGGTTAGCAACTTTCATTTTTGTTTATATCAGTTTCTGCTAAGATGGGTTGGTTTTCTATTTTTAAAGATCACTTTTTACAGTGGTTAATATAAGAATTGTGTTTTAGGCTGCTGGTTTGGGAAGTATGATCCTTTCATTCAGAGATAATAAACAGTTTAAATCTTAGCATTTTTTAACAGAAAATATTTTTAAGCAGTTTGGGATTCAGTGCATAATTGCTTTAACTTTTATTAGCTGGTACAAAGCATTTCATAAAGTGCTTTGGAGTGGCATTGCTCATTAGGATTTGTGGTAATAATATTTGGTAATTAAATGTTGGGAATAATAAAACATCCATGCCTTATGGTCCTGTGCAGTGGAACTGACTTGTAAACTATAGCAAACTTTAGCCATAAGAATGTAGAGAAGGAGGAATGCAATTTTAGCACCTTTTCATGCTTTGTGCAGAGCAGTAAGAAATGGGACACTTATTCTTTTTATAATTAAAGTAAATGTATTGTGTTTGCTGATGACAGATGTAACATGAGTTTTCTTAATCAGGTGATTTAGGTGTAGAAAAGAATGTAATCCCATAATTTAAAAAGTAGCCAGCTTGTCACTGTGGGCACGTTGGGATGCTGAGGCAAGAAGAGCATTTGAGGCCAGCCTGGTTAATCTAGAATGATGTGTCTTTTTTTTTTTTTTTTTTTTTAGGCAGCCAGTTAACATTTTGGTGTATATATTTTTAGAGTTTAAATTTACATATTAATTTTCTTTATTCATGCATTACATAATTTTGCATGTTTTAATGCCAATAAGTACATATTTTTGTTATCTTTTTTTGATTGCTACATAATATTTCCTTAAGTACAAATACATCTGATTGAGAAAATAGGGCTTTTGATTTTATGCAAGTTTTTAGTCTCTGTTTTTTATTTAATGGTGATTTGAAAAACTTTGTTCAAGATGATTATGCATATTTGATTCTTATTCTTTTTTACTATTTTTAAAATGTTCTCTTATCGCTTTGTTTGTTTGTTTTTTTCCCTTTAGGTTTTTGCCATAGGACATGTGTGCTTTTGGGAAAGAGACAGTGAGAGGGAAAGTAAGAAATCACCACACAATGGGGATGGCCTTGCTATAATATCTTGTCCTCCATTCTCTTGGGATTTGGGGCATACAAGAACACGTGCCTGGTGTGATTCTCAAGCCAACTCTGGGACTCAAAACCACTGTCGGCCATGTGGGAATCCAGTGCCTTAATCACCACGCCACCTGCTGGCCCCACTCACTGAGTTCTTAATGTACATTTATCATTCTGAATTATTTTTATATGTGATTTTAAAAATAATTTTGTTTTAAGTTTTATGTTTCTTTTTTTTTTTCTTTCTTTTTTTGGTCTAAAACTTTGATTTCTTAAGATTTTATATTTTTAGAGTCAGCCCCATTGCCTAGTGATTAAGTGAGCCAGAGCCCATGTGGCCAACTGCAGTTTGAATCTCAGCCCTGGTGGCTTGAAAAGAATGCTGAATGCATGTGCGTGGATGTCCAAAATCCTAATAGGATGGAGAAATAGAGGGATTGTTTGGTGGCCATGTTCCATTGGCAGGTGCTTACTCCCTCTGCCTCTGTCTCTCTCTGGCAAGTGTATGTGCCCTCTGGCAATTAAAAAAATGTTAATTTAATTCTACAAAAGATTTTATATTTATAAGACTTATTCAAATGGCCCTATGTATCTCGATAACAATAAGTTTAATGGGGGCAAAATGATTGCTCGTCCTTCTGTAGATTTTCATTTGCATTTTGATACGTTTATTAATCTTGAAGATTATCATAATTAAGGTCTTAGTTTATTATTTTGCATTTTAGTGATTTGGATCCTATTCAAGCTCCCCATTGGTCTGTTAGAGTTCGAAAAGCTGATAATCCACAGTGTTTGCTAGGTAAGATACATTATAGTCTTTTTTTGAACTATCACTAATTTGCCTACCTTCCATATCAGGAACACTGAATGCATTCTTTGTACTTCATTTCACCTATCCAAAGAAAAAAAATTTTAACATTTATAACCTCTATGACATTAACATTATGCAGAAATGATCTTTGCCAATTGCAGTGAATTCTTTTTGGACACTTGCTGTCTTTCAGTTTTAAAAGCCTGCACCTTAGTATTCTCTATTACTTCTCATTATTCCAGTTTTAGTCTTTAGATTCTTTTATGTTACTCTCTTTACTTCCTTCTGTGGCTTAGTCTACATCTTCTGTCCCGGTTGGTAGAGCCCTTTTTGCCTTTTGTCCTTGTGGACCTGTGATATATGGTGGGAAGAGCACTCATTCTGACAGTCTGCATTAGAGCCCCGTAGAGTTGTATTACATCTGCAAACCTGTTTTCTGATATGGGAAGAGAGGTATAAGTAACTTTACACACTTCACGGTATTATTCGAAGAATCAAATTAAATAACATAAATGGAAGTGCTTTGAAAAACATTAATTCCTATGCAAATACTGCTATTGTATTTTCTCCCTGGAATTGTCTTTCTCTTCTCCTTTTAAAAATTTTTTAAAAAGGGGCCAGCAGGTGGTGTGTTGGTTAATGCGCTGGACTCAGTTTGAGTCCTGGACCTGGCAACTTACTTTCTCACTTTCTTTCTCTCTCATACTCTCTCTGGTCAAATTAAAATAATACTAATACTATATAAATAAAATTAAATAATTCTTTTAAAAATTAAAAAAAATTTCCCCCCTTTTTCATAATAGACCATAAGCATGTGTGTGAGAGAGAGAGGGAAAGCACCCAAGCAGGAAGCAGGGTCTAGTCAGGCCACAGTCCTTCTTCCCCCAATATTCCATCCCTTTAGAATCTTTGGCATGCTCACACACACCTGGTGTATTAACTCCGAGGGGAGGGATTTGAACCCCAGTTGGCCATGTAGGATCCAGCTTCTTCTGCACAGCACTTAACCAACTGCTGCACTAAGGGTCCTGACCCTTTCTCTTTTTTTATAGGTGCATCTCTTCCATGAAGACTTGCGAACTCATCTCTTCAATGTGCCTTTCCATCTTTCCCCCCTTAATGTTTAGTACATATGAAAATATTTTCCCATTTATTCCATTCATCTATGCCACCTTTGCTCCTTGTCACCTATTAATATGTAGCTGATGGAGTCACTGAGTGCCTATTGTTGATAAGAGATTATTTTCTTGGGCTTTTTTTTTTATCATTTATGCTTTTCTTTAGATGTTTACTTGCAATTACCATTTGTGCTATAATACTGGAGACAAAGATAGATAAAGTAAAATTCTTGCCATTGGCAAATTTATCTGGGCTTTAGGAAAACAGTATAGTGTTTTAGAAGGGCTGGCAGGTGGTGTGGTAGAGCCCTTTTTGCCTTTTGTCCTTGTGGACCTGTGATATATGGTGGGAAGAGCACTCATTTTGACAGTCTGCATTAGAGCCCCGTAGAGTTGTATTACATCTGCAAACCTGTTTTCTGATATGGGAAGAGAGGTATAAGTAACTTTACACACTTCACGGTATTATTCGAAGAATCAAATTAAATAACATAAATGGAAGTGCTTTGAAAAACATTAATTCCTATGCAAATACTGCTATTGTATTTTCTCCCTGGAATTGTCTTTCTCTTCTCCTTTTAAAAATTTTTTAAAAAGGGGCCAGCAGGTGGTGTGTTGGTTAATGCGCTGGACTCAGTTTGAGTCCTGGACCTGGCAACTTACTTTCTCACTTTCTTTCTCTCTCATACTCTCTCTGGTCAAATTAAAATAATACTAATACTATATAAATAAAATTAAATAATTCTTTTAAAAATTAAAAAAAATTTCCCCCCTTTTTCATAATAGACCATAAGCATGTGTGTGAGAGAGAGAGGGAAAGCACCCAAGCAGGAAGCAGGGTCTAGTCAGGCCACAGTCCTTCTTCCCCCAATATTCCATCCCTTTAGAATCTTTGGCATGCTCACACACACCTGGTGTATTAACTCCGAGGGGAGGGATTTGAACCCCAGTTGGCCATGTAGGATCCAGCTTCTTCTGCACAGCACTTAACCAACTGCTGCACTAAGGGTCCTGACCCTTTCTCTTTTTTTATAGGTGCATCTCTTCCATGAAGACTTGCGAACTCATCTCTTCAATGTGCCTTTCCATCTTTCCCCCCTTAATGTTTAGTACATATGAAAATATTTTCCCATTTATTCCATTCATCTATGCCACCTTTGCTCCTTGTCACCTATTAATATGTAGCTGATGGAGTCACTGAGTGCCTATTGTTGATAAGAGATTATTTTCTTGGGCTTTTTTTTTTATCATTTATGCTTTTCTTTAGATGTTTACTTGCAATTACCATTTGTGCTATAATACTGGAGACAAAGATAGATAAAGTAAAATTCTTGCCATTGGCAAATTTATCTGGGCTTTAGGAAAACAGTATAGTGTTTTAGAAGGGCTGGCAGGTGGTGTGGTGATTGAGGTTCTGGACTCCCAGGTGGCTGACCATGGTCCAAGTCCTGGTCATGGTGGCTTGCTTTCTCACTTTCCCTCTCTCTGTCTGTCTCCAGTCAAATTTAAAATAATAATGACAATAAATAGAGTTAAATAATTCTCAAAAATAAAGAGTTTTAGAGTTGGACAGACATTGGTTCAAATCCTAGATCCACCAGTTTGAACAATTTTCTTAAGCTTCAGCATTCTTATTAGTAAAATAGAGGAATACACTTTGTAGGCATTTTAGGAGAATCAAATGAGATTATGGGACTAGTCCTGTAGCACTGTGGTTAAGAGAGCCGGGATTCCACATGGATGACCTTGGTTTAAATCCTGACCCTAGTGACTTTAAAACCACACTAGGTGCCTGTGTGTGCAAGCTCAAAATACCAACAGGATGGAGAGATGGAAGAGATGAGATTATGGTTTGACCATACCCTGTTGGGGGATGCTTTCTTTCTTTTCCTGTGTCTTTTTCTTTCTGGTGAACACATGTGCTCTCTAGCAATTGAAAGAGAGAGGGACCAGCAGATGGCATAATGGTTGCGTCTCTGGACTCCCATGTAGTTGACCGTGGTTTGAGTCCCAGATCCAGTGGCTTAAAATTCATGTTGAATGTATGTGTATGTGTGCCCCAAGATCCTGAGAGGAGAATGGAGAGAAGGGATTGTGGTGTGGCCATCACCCCAGGGGGTGATTTCTCTCTTTCTGTCTGTCTCTGTCTCTCCAGTGAGCTCATGCACCTTATAACAAAAATTGTTTTTCTAAAAAGAAGCGGGAAGAAAATGAGATTATCTTTATGAATATTTCACATTTTAACACAGCACCTGTCTTACAGTAAATACACAATAAATAGTTTGTGTTGTTTAATCATGAAATTACTATTCTATTTCATTTATTATTTTTTATTCAGTTTATTTAAAGCATTTCCTAATATCTTATTATTCCTCATCCATTGACATGTGAGATAATTGCACCGGACCTTAGAATTGGTCTCACTTCTTTGGCTAGTTTTTATGACTGGACTACAGGATTTTCTTACGTTTCTAAGCTCAGAAAATGTTCTAGAACTAATTGATGAATTCTAAACTTATATATACTCAATATGTTATATTTTAGTACCTATGGTTCTTGTTAGGCTTTAATTTCTTTGTACAAATGTACCTCATTACAGCTCTTTGGAAGATAGGTAAGGGCTTTGAAAAGTTCATGGAAAAATAATGTATTATGAAAAAACTTTACATAGATTTCAATTATTTTTGCACCAAAATAAACCTGTACTTTAATTCTATTTTTCTGCAAACTTTGTGAAGTCCCCTAGTATCACATCCCTTCCCCCCCTAGTAGTAATGACAGAAAGTATACCATCTGTAGCAGAAGCTGAGATACTTCTTCCTACATCCTTTTTCCTTCCTTAATCCTCAAAAAACTTATCTTATATATATTTATTTATATACACATATATACACTCGCACATATATGTGTATATATAGTGATATTCTTGTTACTTACACAACTTAATGATAATAGATACTATTTTTCTCATTGAGACATATAGTAAATGATTAAGATTATTACATACAATTTTTTCTCATTCTATTATAGAAGAAATTCTAAGGAAAAACTTTTAATATTGTGAGACATGGAGAGAAGGCAAGAAAGAATAAGACTACCTTTGAAATACAATTAATTTTTGTCCTTTTAGGGGAACAACTGAATGTTTCTCTTTCTGTCACATCTTAGTTAATAGCTTTTCTGAAAAGACATATTCTTTAATTTATAGGAATGATTTCTTTTAGTTAAGTATCAAAAATGAGTAACATTTTTTTCTGTGTAGGTGATTTTGTCACTGAATTTTTTAAAATTTGCCGACGAAAAGAGTCAACTGATGAAATTCTTGGGCGATCCACATTTGAAGAAGAAGGCAAAGGTGACCTGCTGTTTTTAAAATGTTACTTTTAGATGTCTTACTTCTTTTCTTTGGCCCATTTTCCAGTAACTTCTCATCCTTTTCTCATTTTGAATTAAGTTGGAGAAGCACGTTTTGATGGACTAGACTGTATCTCTCCAGGTTATATGTATAGCTTGTTAAGACATTAAGAGCATTTAATAAGTTCTTTACACCTGAAGGGTGAGGTATTTTAAAAAGCAGAATGTTAGAGGTTTATTTTTAAAGTCCCTTATGGAGAAATAATTTGTGCGACACCTTTGTAACTCATGCTAGCATGTGAGGCTGAACATGTGTATTAAAATTTTATAGTTCCAAGGTCATGTAACTGTGGTGAAAAGAGTAGCTAAAGTATTTTCTACAATCATCAATTTGCTTATCACTTTAAGCCTCCTAAGGTTTTAGATATAATGTGTATTCATTTCTATTCTTTTTATAGAAATTGCGGACATAACTCACGCTTTGTCTAAGTTGACAGAGCCAACGCCAGTTCCAATTCATAAGTTATCAGTCTCAAATATGGTACATACTGCAAAGAAGAAAATACGAAAACACAGAGGTGTGGAAGAGTCACCACTGAATAATGATGTCCTCAATACTATTCTCTTGGTAACTAGATGTTTTTTAAATTATATATCTACATGCATAACCATTTATTCACTATATATCCAGTCCCCTTTAAGTGGCAGATACGAATTGGGAATGTAAAGTGAGTAAAATAAAGTTTTCACATTCAGAGAATTCCCACTTGTGTAGTGGAAGGAGGGAAATTATAAGTATAGTATACCATGTTGCTGTAACAAGTCAGACAGAGGAGTTGCAAGAATGTAGCCAAGGGTGCATCTGTCTCTGTTGGGGCAGTGGGAATCAAGCAAGACTTTATAATGAGGGACACTTGAACCGAATCTTGAAGAAAAGGCTTGGGAACCAGCAGTTAGCGTAATGGCTATGTCGCTGGACTCCCACGTAGTCGACCGCGGTTCGCTTCCCGGACCCGGTGGCTTAAAACTCACGCTGGGCGCGTGTGCGTGCGTGCCCAAGATCCCGAGAGGAGAATGGAGGAGAAAGTATTGCGGTGTGACCATCCCCCCTGGGGGGTGATTTCTCGCTTTCTGTCTCTATGTCTGTCTCTGTCTGTCTGGTGAGTGCACGCGCCCTATAGTGAAAAAAACTCTCAAAAAAAAAAAAAGAAAAGAAGGCTTTAGGAGCAGAGAGATAGCAGAGGCCTGAGACCATTGCCGAGCAGTTGGCATTTTGTAGGGTGTTTTGCAGGGAGTGGCCAGGGAAAAGGCTAAAGAGGAAGCAGGTAACCTGACAGGGTGAAGTGCCGGATTTTATCTCACTGTTTAATACTGTTTTAAGCAGCACAATCAGAACTATATTTTTCAAGGTCCCTTTGACAACAGTCTCAGCTGGGGTAGGTGCCAGTGTGGTAGAATGAGGCTAGCCTGGGAGCCACGCTCCACCATGGTTTAATCCGGACTTGCTGCAAGACTTTGAACAAGTCAATTTTCTCATCTATAAAATGAGGCTAACTAAACCTTCTGAGATTGTTGTGAACATTAAAGGATCTCCTATGACAATGCCTGGTATATAATAGCCTTTTGATAAATAATAGCTATTTTTATTGTAATTATAGTTATAATCATACTGCTTGCAATTTGTACATTAAGGTAGTGTTGAGAAAGACCTTCAAGAGTAGTGTCAAAAAGAATACTGAACTTAGAAACTGGATATTAATCTTATTTCTCCATTTATCTGAGCAAGACTTTTTTAAAAATTTTTATTTATTCATTCATTTATTTTAATTTGACCAGAGAGAGACACAGAGAGAGAGAGAGAAAAGGAAAGGGAAAAAGCAAGCCACCAGGACTAGGACACGAACCTTGGTTGGCCATGTGGGAGTGTCCAGCACCTTAACCACTGCACCACCTGGTCCCCTGAACAAGACTCTTAACCAGATTTTTAGCTTAAATGTAAGATGTGGGCAGTGGTATTTCACACATGGTGGTATGAGAACAGGATCATGTTTGTAAATGGACATAATGTTGGCGCCTGGCACACAGTAGTTCCTCTAATTTTTAAAAATCTATTGAGTGGGGGCCAGCAAGTGGTGTGGTGGTTAAGGCACTGGACTCCCATATGACTGACCGTGGTTTGAGTCCCAGACCTGGAAGCTTGCTTTCTACTTTCCCTTTCTCTCTCTCTCTTTCTCTAGTCAAATTAAACAAATAATAATGATTGTGATAAATGAAGTAAAATAATCATTTTAAAAAAACCTGTTGAGCATGTTCTGTGATATGTGGCCAAGTATACATATTAAGTGAAACAAAAAAAACCTGTTGAGCATGTTCTGTAAAATGGGGCCAAGTATACATATTAAGTGAAACTACTAGTCAGTTCCACAAACCAATTGAGACGAGCAGGAAAAAAAGAGACTGAAAAAATATTTTGTAGATAAAAGGCCCCTTCTAAAAGAATGTGTCCTTGGGGTCAGCAGATGGCAAAGAGATTAAGATGGTTGGATCCCACATGGGCAATTACATGGTTTGAGTCTCAAACCTGGCAGCTTTGAAAAACATACATGCATGTGAATGTGCTCCCACAATCTTGAGAGAAGAGAATGTGGAGTGGCCATACCCCCCAGGAGGATACTTTTCCACTTTCCCTCTCTGTTTTTCTCTCTCTCTATCCCTGTCTCTGATGAGCTCATGCACCTTGTAGTGCAAAAACGTATCCTTGGAAATTTTATTCAGATTATATAGCTGAGTTGTCATAGACACTGAATTTACTTTTATGATAGCATGTGCATGAGAGAGGGGGACAAGGAGGGAGGGAGAGAGGAACACTTTCAGTGGGGTCTCATACTACAGACTCCTTTCTGTAGCCCTCCAATGCCTCAGGATCCTGGGTGCCCATTTTGTATGCTTGGCATGTTTTCAGGCTGATACGGGAATCTGAACCCACAGTTGACCAGCTTTGCAGGTTACTTGTGTTACTGCTGTACCACAGCTGCTGGACCAATTGAAGTTTCTTTTGTTTGTTTGTTTGTTTGGGTTTTTTTTTTAGTTTTTTTTTTTCTTTCTTTTTTGCTATAGGGCGCATGTGCTTGCCAGACAGACAGAGACAGAGAGACAGAAAGCAAGAAATCCACCCCCCAGGGGGGATGGCCACATTCTCCTCCATTCTCCTCTCGGGATCTTAGGGACGCACACACACGTGCCTGGCGTGAGTTTTAAGCCACCAGGTCCAGGACGTGAACCGCAGTTGACTACATGGGAGTCCCGCGACATAGCCATTACTCTAACTGCTGGTCCCCCAGTTGAAGTTTTTTGACCAGCCCTACACATGCATGTGTGCATTTGGGTATGCATGCACACACACAAACCATGTGGAAGAGATACATTGGTTATTACAGGCTTAGACTGCTTCCTACTTTAAAAAAAATTAATTCATTTTTTTCATGAGCAAGAGAGACACAGAGACAGCACCCGCAACAGGTCTTGATGCCATGATCTACCCCCATCTTCAGCCAGCCTTGGATCGTGGGCACTCTCTCCTGGTATACTCAGGGTGATCTCTGTAGGTGAACTCAGAAACCTTCTGTGTGGGTCTGCCTTGCAGTGCTGCATTTTATTGCTGTGCCATTGCTCAGCCCTTGCTTCCCACTTTTAAGGAGTATCTTATAAAATGGTTGTGTGTCTTGAATGCCATACCTGTAGTATTTGGTATTTGAAAACCTGTGGCTAATATAACTCTATAGATCCTTATCAGTATATTTACATTATATTTTATAGCTTTATCTTTTTAACAGTATTAACACTTTATAAAAATTTACTGGTGGGCCAGCAGATGGTGTGGAGGTTAAGATGGCTGGATCCCACATAGCTGGCTGGGCAGTTCAAGTCCCAGACCACGGCCTAAAATCATGCTGGGCATGAATAGAGGAGAAAAGATTACAGAATAGGTATCTCCCTCTGGGGGGGGTGATCTCTCACTTTCTCTCTCTCATAGGTATCTCCCTCTGGGGGGGTGATCTCTCACTTTCTCTCTCTCCTTGTTTCCAGTGAGTGCATGCCACCCTATGGGGAAAAAAGATTAATGGCCTTGGATGAGACCATGAAATCATAGTGAAAAGATTTTTCTTTATACTGTTCAACTCACATAATTTGATGGTTACTCTTAACAAAATGTTCTGATTTCTAAAATTGACTGGTTATTGAAGCTATGTGTATTTTTTAAGAAAAACTGAAAAAATTGAGAGTGTAGAACCAACTGGCTGATATACTAGGAATATTCCCATTCTAATAGCAGCACCATTTAAAAGTCAAATAGTGTCTATGTGAGTTAAAAAAAAATTAACCAAATAAGAAATGTAGTCTAACATGACTATTTTCTTCTCTTCCCCCTAAGTTCTTATTCCCTGATGCTGCTTCTGAGAAACAATTAGATGGAACCACTTCAACTGACAATAATCCTCCACCAGAAGACTATGTATGTTGATGTGGAATTCAGTTTTAAAGTGTATTTAATTTCTAGGGGTTTGCTATATTTCTAGTTTAGTAGCATAAGAAACATTTTATTTTCAAAATCACCTTTGAATAATCAAATGGAGATCATTGGCATGACTTGGATAATGAACTGCTACAGAACATTGGTATAGATATAACATATTTTCAGTGGTAACAGTTCTTTTGCAAATGGAAAACAGCATAAACATACAGTATCTAGTGATAGGATTTCCCTTTAAGTTTTTGTGAAATCATTATAATAGATTTTTCTCCATCGTTCAAAACCAGGCAGTGAGTAGGAAAACTCTTTAAAGATATAAAATGTTCATTTTCTTCTTATCCAAGTCTTAGAGAAATTGAGAAATGAGACTGTAAAAGACAGGTATTGCAGTATATCAGCTATTTTTAGTAGTTATAATTGAGAAGTAGGTTTCATTAGGTAAAGGGGAAAAGCTGAGACTTTTGTATTTTCAATTATACAGTTCTGAATTTATGGGTTTTTTTTTTTTTTTGAAAAGTGTTTCCTCACTTAATTATTAGAGATTTTTAAAACAACATATGAAATTTGGAATATATATATATTTTAATTCCACAGAAGAACTAGAAAGTTGTAACTTAATCCTCATTGAACTAATTCATTTCTTTGATTGTGGTAAAAATCTTGAAAACATGAAACTGCTTAAGAATAGTTTGAGAAGTAGTATGTTATTAGACTTGTGATAAAAGCTAGTTTTTTTTCCTAGGACAGGTTAGTTTTAGTATTAAAATCTCTCCCTACACACTATTTAATTATATGTGTAAAATATGTCATTAACTTGTTTTGCTTTGTTTCTGTTTTGTTAAATTTAGAGTCTCTACAATCAGTTCAAATCTGCACCATCTGACAGCCTAACTTACAAACTGGCTTTGTGTCTTTGTATGATCAATTTCTACCATGGAGGGTTGAAAGGAGTAGCCCACCTCTGGCAGGAATTTGTGCTAGAAATGCGCTTCAGATGGGAAAACAACTTTCTGATACCAGGGTAATAATTTCAATATCTGTGTGTTTAGACAGGATTTTTGCTTTTTAATAGACATTTGGCTTTTGACCCATTAATTTTCCATTTCTAGAAATCTGAGCTAAGAAACTGGTAAGAAACTTAGATATAATGTATGTTCATAGGTGTTTACTGCAGCAGATTTATGATGGGAAAAAGGCCAAACAACCTAAATATCAGAAATAAAATAATTAAGTAAATGTAATATTCTACAATGGAAATTTACAGGTCTGTTATACATTTTTCCCCAAGAATCTTTAATAACATAGAAAGATCAAGAAGCATATCGTATATGAGGGAGTATATCTGGCTGATCACTGGAACCTAGTAGCTTAGAACTAGAAGAGGCCGGGAGTTCTGTTGACAAAATGGAGTTGGAAGTTCTTATTATTCAAAGATCTACTATAATAACTGAAAAGAGAATATACAGACTATTTTGTCTATATTATGTGAAATATTGTGTGCTGGTAACTTCCTGGGGTGTATTTAGAGTCTTTTTCTCAGTTTAAGTTTTATTTTTTTCCTTTTTTTTAGGTTTTTGTCCTGTGGCACATGTACTCAGCAGAGACAGAGAGACAGGGAGAGGGAAAGAAATCATCCACTCTAGGGAGATGGCCTTTCCACAATCTCTTCTCCATTTTCCTCACAGGATTTGGGCATGAATGCACACATGCCTGGTGTGATTTTCAAGTAGGGGTGTCTGTGACTTAAACTACAGTTGGCGATGTCAGAATCCAGCACTTTAACCACCACTCCACCTACTGGCCCCATTTTAAGTTTTTATCATTCTGAAAGCTATAACTAATTTATTATTATGTTTTAAAATATCTATTATATTTGCCATTGGTGATTTGTGGACTAGGAAAATAAAGTATTGGATTGTCAGAAAAGTCATGATGCATTTTTTGCATATAAAAATATAGAAAAATACATATGACTATTCCAACAACCCAATAAATTTTTATCTTTTTATTGTATGTGCTCCTTCTCTGGAGCTCAGCTACTTTAATTATAGACATCTAGTTCTGATTATTTTTACCAATATACTTAAAGATTTTGGTAATATAAAAAAAAATGGAAACTATTTACTAAACTTTCTTTTCTTATTGCCTTATTTGATAGATTAGCCAATGGACCTCCAGATCTAAGATGCTGTTTACTACATCAAAAACTACAGGTAAAGATTTCTCAATAAAAAAATAAGTATGTGGTCTTTAATTATTATTTTAATTCTAAATATAGTAACAGGTTATATGATATTAAATATTTAGGCAGTAGATAGATATTCTTTAACTAATTTAGCTATGAATCTTATTTCTTTTTTCTTAAGATGTTAAATTGTTGCATTGAAAGAAAGAAGGCTCGTGATGAGGGGAAAAAGACAAGTGCTTCAGATAATGTAACAAATACATATCCAGGGGATGCTGGAAAGGCTGGAGACCAGTTGGGGGCAGATCATCTAAAAGATACTGAAAAGGAGAAAGGAGAAGTGGGAAAGTCTTGGGATTCTTGGAGTGACAGCGAAGAAGAATTTTTTGAATGCCTAAGTGATACTGAAGAACTCAAAGGAAATGGACAAGAGAGTGGCAAGAAAGGAGGACCTAGGGAGATGGCAAACTTAAAGCCAGAAGGACGACTCCACCAGCATGGGAAGCTTACATTGCTGCATAATGGAGAACCTCTGTACATTCCAGTAACGCAGGTAATATACACGGCTCTTTCTACATTAATTTCTTTGTTTTGTTGTTTATATAACTTAAACCTGGTTGGAAATTATTGCTTTGGGTAGGAGAAATTTTTAAGGAAGTCTGTGTTTAAAGATTTTTAGATTTGAGATCATCTCATGCTCTAATGGTTAAAGGAGCCAGATCCCACAGCTGATCATGCCATTTGAATTCTGGCCTTGGCAGCTTGAAAAACATGCTGGGTATCTGTGAATGTGTGCCCAAAATCCTAACAGAATGGACAGGCAGAGGGGAAGAGATCAAGATGTGACTATGCCCCATTGTGAGGTGCTTTCTCCCTCTCCCTCTGTTTTTCTCTCGAGCGTGCATGTGACCTCTGGCAAAACAAAAAAATAAAAATAAACTTTTGGGATTTCCAGGTCACCATTTCTGAAATTTCTGAAGCATTTGAAAGTCTAAGTAGATAGTAGCTCATCATTTATAAGGTGACCTTTTTTTTAAGAGAAATTTTTGCTATCGGGTATGTGTGCTCACTGGAGAGACAGAAAAAGAAATCACTCCCCCCCCACCCCCCAAAGGCGATGGCCATGTTGTAATCCCTTCTCCAATCTCCTCTTGGGATTTTGGGCATGCATGCATATGTGCCCAGAGTGAGTTTGAAGCCACTCGATCTGGGACTCGAACTGTAGTCGGCCATGTGGGAGTCTAGCAACGTAACCATTACACCATCTGCTGATTACACAATCTGTTATTTTTTAAACTTAGTACTTGAGTGTTTAAAAAACAAAATTCAAAAATATGGAAGGGAAAGAAAAATAAAAATCTTTCAATTATATGACTAGTTTTTAATCTGTTCAAAAATTCAGTACGAAGTGATTTTATGCCATTAGTTTGTAGAATAGCAACAACTGAACATTTGAGGAAGAACAATGGTTTTTGTTAAATAATATGTGAACATATTTTATTGTGAAAAATCAATCTAGAAAAAGTGAAAGCCACCATCCAGAACCTTCATTCCTAGAAGTAACCACTATTATTGAATTGAGTCATAGTTCTCATACATAATCCTAGCTAGCTAAGAAGGCTGGGGGAGGATTATAGCATGAGATTCTCCTAAGGGTACTTATTTCTCTCTCTCTCTCTCTCTCTCTGTCCCACTCATGGAAAAAGAAATAAGCAAATCATTAAAAAAGAGCAAATTATTAGTTATTTCATTATTAAACTTTAATGCTAGATACCAAGTGTATAATGTTTCTAATCTTGTTATTAAGTATATGGTTGGTATTAAGGCCTTTGTATAGGCCTGGGTTTTAGGACCTAGCAGAAGTTGGATTTATGTCTGGCACCACCATTAACAGTTTTGCTAGTATAAGGCTCCTTTCTGAGCCTTGTTTTTCTCATCTTCAAAAATTATAAGTTCATTTGCATTTTTTAGAATTTTATGTAAATTAAATAGCATAATGTATATATTTTTAAAGACAGGGGCCCACCATGCTGCAGTCCTCTTTCCTTAGCTCTCTAGCTGCTTTCACAACCAGCCCATTTTATTTTAAATAATTATTTTATCTTATCTTTATTTATTTATTTAATTTTTATATTAGTTTGACCAGAGGTGAAGAGAGAGAAAGAAAGAGAGAGAAACTAAGCCGCCAGGCCCTGGACTTGAACCGTGGTCAGCCATGTGGGAGTCCAGCGCCCTTAACCACCACGCCACCTGCTGGCCCCCAACACAAATGGCCCTTTTAAGACAGGGTCTTGTCATGCTACCCAGGCCAACCCTCAGCTTGAGATCTGCCTTCCCCAACTCTGGAGCTTCTGGGATTGCAGGTGCATGTCACCATGACCAATCATTACGTTATATCAGGATATTAAACCCAGATCTCCCATGGGGGTCCGAGCCTGCAGAGCACAACATCTTTGCACCATGTGCCACTGTGCTTGGACCCACATATATTTTTGTATGTGAATTCTTTCAGCCTAATTATTTTAAGATTCGTGCATATCATTGTATGTGTTAATACATCATTTTTATTGTTTTCCATTGCCTGAGTATACCACAGTTTGTTTACCCATTGAGTCATAACTTTTCTCTTTTTAAAAAAGAATGATTTTATTTTATTATTCTTTTTTAGTTTGACCAGTGAAAAAGAGAGGGAAAGTGAGAAAGCAAGCTGCCAGATTTGGGACTTGAACCGCGGTCTGCCATGTGTGAGTCTAGCAGCGCCTTAAACACTACGCCACCTACAGGCCCCTCACTTTTCTTTTTTTCTTATTTTTTTATTAGATTTTTTGCTATAGGGTGCAGTACATTCACCAGAGAGAGAGAGAGAGACAGAAAGTGAAAAATCACCCCCCTCCCCCAAGGGAGATGGCCACACCACATTCCCTTCTCTTCCATTCTCCTCTTGGGATTTTGAGCATGCACACACAAAATGCATGGCTTACTTTTTTTTTTTTTTTTTTTGAAAGTTTTTTTCTTTTGTATGTCAAAGAGACGGTGCCTCCATTAGGGCCTTCATGCTTTAATCAACCCCCCAGCTTTGGCCAACAACAGATCATGGGCATGTGTGTGCCTGGCTTACTCAGAGTGGTCTCAAGATATGACCCATGTGGAACCTTTCCACATGGGTCAGCCTTGCAAGGTGCTGGGTTTTACCTTCGTGCCCCAAAGTTTATCCACTCATTTTTTTCTTCTTTTTAAAATTTGCTATAGGGCATATATACTCACTGGAGAGGGAGGAAGTGGGAGGCAGTAATTGAGAGAGAGAGAGAAAGAAAGAGAGAGAGAGAGAGAGAGAGAAAGCACCCGTTTCCTCGCCCCAGGAAGGATGACCACATCACAATCCCTTTTCCTCAATTTTCCTCTTGGGATTTTGGGCACTGATAGACATGTACCCAGTGTGTTTCAAGCTCCTGGGTTTGGGACTTGGACTGTGCTGTTAGCCATATGTGATCCAGCTACCTTCACCACCACGCCACCAGCTGGGACTATTCATTCATTCCTAATGAACATTCCGAAAAATGAGTATAACAAAACTTGGGCAGTAATGGATATACTCATTATTTTCATCGTGATGATCGTTTCATGGGCATAAACATACGCTAAAACTTAACCAAATATACCCTTTAAATTATGGTACATTAATCATAATTCAGTAAAACTGTTAAAAAAGGTATCATATGATCAGTGCTTAACAAGGAAGAAAAAAATCCATTTCCATTTCTATCTCGTTCTAACATATCTGCAGTTTAAAAACCTGACCTGTTAATTTGTTTAATGATCAAATATTATGTACCTTAAAAGCAGTGATAGTTTGTATTACTATGGTTTATTCAGGATGAAATCACACATCATATTTGAAAGCCCTTGGTATGTAAATGTTCAGCAAAGGTTAATTTTTTTGTATCCTTTTCCTCCCATTTTTAATTAATAGTAATTCTAGGTTGGCCTGTGGCCTACATGTTAAGGGAAGCCATATTCTATATGGTTGACTGCAGTTCAAATCCCAATCATGAATGGCTTAAAAAAACATACTGAGCATGTGTGTGTATGCTGTGAATCCTGGCAAGATGGTAAAATGGAGGAAAAGAGATTGCTGTGTGACCAAGCCCTATTGCAGGGTGCTTTTTCCTTCTTCTCTTTCTCGGTTTCTCTCTCTGGCGAGTACATGTGTGGTCTGACAATTAAAAAAAAATAGTAACCCCTGTTATTGATCAGTCAGTTTTATATTTGTTTCCTTGGTTTAACTGGGTTAATAAAAAGTCTGAGAAAGTTGCTCTGGAAGCGCAGACTTTTTCTTTCTTAAAACAAAACAAAACAAAACAAAAAACACCTTAATGTAGTGCTTTATTTTTCTTCAAAATATTATGTCCCCTTATTTATTTCAGACACTTGAATTTATGGCCTAAATGTAGACTTACTTAAAACTTATTTTTCTTCCAATATGTGTCTTACATATTTAGAAATTAGTTTATATTTTACTTTTAGGTAGATGTAGGCAAATTTCTAGTACATTTTACTTCTGACTTTGAAGTTAATTTTATTTAAATTATAACATTATATATGTAGTTACATGAAATGTTTGGAATTCAAAATGAAAAGAATAATAAAGCTCTATATGGATACTTGCTTCATAAGAATTCAAATACACTCTGTATTCTATTCATGTAAACTTAATTCATCCTAAGTTTATGGCTAGAAAAAGCTTAAAATTTTTACTCAGTATTCTAGAATAGGACTAGAAACCTGGAGAATCTGACGAGACGATCCTTCGCTAGTGAACTGGAACCAAGCTGGTGTTCTTAAAACTTGTATTGAACAGATGTTCTGGGTTCTCTTTTCAGTTAAGCACTTGGTAGTTTTGAACTAGGTGATTTCAGCCATGTTTCTTCATTTTGCACCTCAGTTTCACCATCTGTACCTGCCCTGACGCACTTGGCAGTGATCACGTGAGATCCTGTATATGAGGAGGTGTCGGCATATTCAGAAGGAGTGTATTCTTGGGACCAGCAGTTAGCGTAATGGCTATGTCGCTGGACTCCCACGTAGTCGACCACGGTTTGAGTCCCGGACCCGGTGGCTTGAACTCACGCCAGGCGCGTGTGCATGCGTGCCCAAGATTCCAAGAGGAGAATGGAGGAGAACGGGTTGCGGCGTGGCCCCCCCCCCGGGGAGTGATTTCTTGCTTTCTGTCTCTCTGTCTCTCTCTGTCTGGCGAGCGCACGCGCCCTATAACAAAAACCTCTCAAAAAAAAAAAAAAGGAGTGTATTTGTATATGAAACTATGATCCTCATTCTGCTTGCTGCTTATCCCCATGCCATGTCCTCTGTGTGCAGGCGACTTGGGAGTTCCAGGTGAGAGGGGTAATCAGTGTTCTCTCAATATCCTCTGCCTTCTTCCTACCCTATGATTCCAGGATTATAAACCAATGAAAAATAGCTCCTTTTCATAGAAGGAATGAAGGCTCATGTTCTTGGGTGTTCTTCATCAGAGATTCATGTAATTTGTAAACTTCACTGAAATATGTCAAAGAAACGTAGAATATGAAACTTATATTCTAAGTATTTTGTCTTTAACTGCTAGAGCATGTTCCAGGATCTACTTGTCATAACAATGAGTCACAGAAAGATTTAGTGCTGGTCCAAGGTTGCAGAGTTCGGATTCAAACACAGGCATGTTATCTCTGAAGCCTAAGCTCCTAACCATGATGCTGTATTGCCTAATTATTATTCAGTCCTGAATATTAGTGTGAGACTTTTCCTTTATCTGGTCTCCCTTCCTTCCCTTCCTTCCTTCTTTTAATTTGTCTTCCGGCACATATGCTAACTGGAGATAGGCAGAGACTGGAGAGGGAAAGTGAGAAAGCGTGCCCCAGGGGGATGACCATGCCATAATTCCTTGTCTTCCATTCTCCTTCTGGGATTTTGGGAACACATGCATATACATCCCCCAGTGTGTTTTCAAGCCTCTGGGTCTGGGATTCTAGCCATGAAACACACAGTTGGCCATAGGGCTTCGCCACCTTAACCACCATCTGGCTGGCCCATTGGTGTGAAACTTTTACTTAGTAGTTGTTGGGTAATTAAAAGTGATGTATGATCATTGTACAGAAAACAAAAAAACTTGTAATTCCATAACCAGAGATGACCAATATAGAAGCACTAAATCTTTCTGTGACTCATTGTTATGACAAGTAAATCCTGTAACATGCTCTAGCATATTCCTCACATTTTTTTCTAATATTGAACCATTTCTGGGACCAGCTGATGGCATAATGGTTACATCACTGGACTCCCACATAGTTGACTGTGGTTCGAGTCCCAGACCCAGTGACTTAAAAACTCAACACTGGGCTCATGTGCATATGTGCATGCCCAAAATCCCAAGAGGAGACTGAAGGAGGAAGGATTGTGGAATGGCTATCCTCCCTGGAGGGTGACTTATCACTTTCTGTGTCTCTGTCTCTGCCTGTCTGGTGAGCGCATGTGCCTAAAACAAAAATCCCTTGGGGAAAAGAAAAAATTGAACCATTTCCATTATTTATAATAAAATCCTTGTTGAAACTAGTGTTGAAATAATGGGTGAAGTCTTTTAAGTTCATGGAAGTATATACTATGACAAAAGCATTAGAAAGAGATTTCAAAATTTTTTATACCAAAATAAAATCATATGTTAATTCTATTTTTCTATGAACATTTTTAGATCTCATATATAATAGTATTAGGACTTCATTTCCTTATCATTGAAAGGCAGGAAAATGTTCAGTGGGCCCAAATTCCTCTCTTATGTATCACTTCGTGTCAAGGAAAACATGGTAATCTTATCTGTGAGGAAGAAGAGGCCTGACAGTCATATGTATTCTTCTTAATTTGATACTTTTTAAAATATAAGTTTTGAAAAACTTGTGCATTGCTCTGAATTCTTTCTAATGTATATCTTTTCTGAAATGTTGTCTTTATTCTATTTTTATAGTTCTGCCTAGGCTAAAAAAGACTGTTTGTGAGCTTTGTCCTTTTGTGCTTCACAGGAACCAGCACCTATGACAGAAGATCTGCTAGAAGAGCAGTCTGAGGTTCTAGCTAAATTAGGTACATCGGCAGAAGGGGCTCACCTTCGAGCACGCATGCAGAGTGCCTGTCTGCTCTCAGATATGGAGTCTTTTAAGGTAGGTCACACTTTAGAACTCTGGAGTCTATTGTGAGCTATTCTGAGATGAAACTGTACAAGTCACTCTATAAAGTAGTAGGAAGACCTATATGTCTTTTAAAAAGCATTTGGATTTTGTTAGTAGTTAAAATACCCTGCCTCCATCCCCCAGAGGACATAGTCAACCTTGTTTCTTAAGCTTTCTAAAGGAAAAGAACCAGTCTGTTATTAATGGTTGAAAGTAGAGAGCTGAATAATTTCTATATGTATGTTGGCATGCTTTCTTCCTGGTATGTGTTCAGCCAATTTAATGTGGGTCTTGTAGGAAACCCCTAGGATTTAATGTGGGTTGCTTTACTCGGTGACCTCTGTGTGCCTTCTGTGTGTCTTACTCTGTGAATAGATCAGTAAATGAAGTGTTTACCCTCAGTTGGTAATGTTGTAGAGGGAGATAAGTAATCATGTTAGGTGTTATGTTCTTTTATGATGGCAAGGTCAAAAAGGTGATGGACTCCTGAGTGGTTCATGGATAGTTTTTCAGAAGAGCTGCCACTTAGATGAGTAAGACATTTGCTACCTGAAAAAAAATATTTTAGACTTAGATACAAATCTATAACTAAGACATGTAGGCTTAGGAACTGGTGACATTTGGCTTATTAGCTTAAAAAACTCAGATAAAAAGGACTTTTGTTTTTGAATGATTTCTTATTGAGCATTAAGACAAGTCTATATATATATTAAAAACCCCAGTGGGTAGCACAGGGGGCCACTGGGCTTCCTTCCTTTTGCTGGCACTCCTACCTGTCTCCTAGGCCCAGACTTTCTTCCTTTACTTGCTGCTACCTGTGATGGCCTCTTCCAAGTTCTGCTTCTGTGCTATGTAGGCCAGCTGAATTTGATTTTTCTCTGAAAAACTTGTGCATTCTTTGAAACACAAACACCCCAAAGCACTATGCCACTTTCGTCCTTCTCTGCTAGCAGTCCTAGTGACAGTAAGAGATTTTTTTTTATTCCCTGCTTATTTTCCTCGACTTTACTAAAAGGAAAAAAGTTTTAGAAAATCTCTTAAAAGCTATATATTTTCCTTGGGACTAAAAAGAGAAACTCTGTAAGTTCTTTTCTTCTGTGAGACAAGAACGAGGTATGTATTGCTTTAAAACAAATAGTTGGTATAGTGGATAGAGATGCCATTTGTCTCACAGGGCATGTGTAAAACCAGAACAGTAGAAAAGAGAACTGGCCTAGGGTATGTGTATACCGTGGGAAGTCCCAGCCTCCATGGCAGCTGTTTTCCACCTGAACTCTCACCGCCTTCACCTTCCTCTGTCCTTGTCTTGCCAGTGTCTTTGCAGAGGCCCATATGAGAGGAAATTCCAAATGGGAACTGCGAAGTTCCCTATAGAAACTTAATGGTCCCACATGGAAGGGTTCTGTATAGTTCCTTTAATACTGTGCTTCAGCAAAACTGGGCACCTACAAATCTTTAATAACACTCCTAGAAAATAGTTTGTATTTCAAGTAGCCAAGTTCTACATCTGCCATTTGGGATTCAGATAATATATTTAAGGAAATATATAGTCACTCTAAAATAGACATAGTTGTCTTTCCCTTTTTATGTAGGGTTACTTAGTATTTTGGCCTTGAGAGGGTCCCGAGAGCTTGGGATAGATGCTAATGTGTTCCTGAAGTACCTACCCTTCACAATTTCAGGACAGAGCCTGTTCTGCAGCATGCCCTTTTGGTACCTACAGTGAAAAGGAGATAAGCCATAGCTGAAGTGGGTCTTGACTCTCTCCTGGTTTCTATATATTCAGCCTCAGACAATCAGGAGGAAGAATTCTGGTGTAAAATGTCTTTCTTTAATATATTGGGTAGTCGGGGGACCAGCAGTTAGCATAATGGCTATGTCGCTGGACTCCCCCGTAGTCGACTACGGTTCGCGTCCCAGACCCGGTGGCTTAAAACTCACGCCGGGTATGTTTGCGTGTATACTCAAGAGCCCGAGAGGAGAATGGATTGCGGCGTGGCCATCCCCTCTAGGGGGTGATTTCTTGCTTTCTGTCTCTCTGTCTCTCTCTCTCTGTCTGGCGAGCGCACAAGCCCTATAGCAAAAACCTCTCAAAAAAAAGAAAGAAAAAAATATATATATATTGGGTTGTCGGAAAGGTCGTGACATATTTCTTCTTTGTTTTTCTATGCAAAAATGCATCATGACCTTTTTGATGACCCAATATAATGCAGGAGTTGAAGATTATTTTCTTTTGAAATTCTCCTCAAGGCCATGTGTTTCTTGAGATATTTTTGTGTAGATGTGGTGTTACCTGTTAAGATGCAGATCTTTGTGTATGAATCCTTTAAGTCACTGAGTGTTGCTCACAACAGTTATTTGTTGCATGGACCAGGCCTAGCCTTTAGAAATTTTCTTGTTTGTAGACTGTGAAAGCCCTTCCTTTGATTCTTCATTTCCTAAGGGGGATTTCCTACATTGTAGGGATGGTTAAGCTGGTAGCTGTTGAGCTCAGTGAGGAGAAAAGGACACATTTGACAGACTGTTTTTGTCACTTTGGTTTTCACGCCATCCCTTCATACTCTCCCAGTACATTGCTGGACACTTCTGCAAGGAAGTAGGATCACTGAAAGATTTTTGGCATGTGTCATTGTTGAGTCTATGAAATTATCCACTGGATAAAACCTGAATCAATTTGGTTCCAGAAGCCTGAAAAACAATCATTTAAATCTCAGTTCCTTAACAGCACAAATCCAATTTATATGATAGTGATTTGTTATATGAGGCACAAGAATTTGATAGCTGCATAGAACATTTTTGAGGTTACCTGATATTTATTGCAGTACTGATATTGATTTATTGAGGAAAAGAAGAGCAGAACTTTTCCATCGTTGTATTGCGTCTCTCATCGTGATGTGTATTATTTAATTTACTTGATTTGGGCTTAATTGCTGCTTTTTGAAGTATTGAGTAATTATTATACTATAATTTTAAACTAAGGTATGTAAATTATAATCTGTTAATGAAAATTGTTTTCACGTTACATCAAGTTATTTCTAAATTTATTGAATGAAAATGTTTTCTTTGTCTATAAAACTGAGACAGCAACAATAAAATAATTTTGATACTATGTTTGACCTTTTTTTAACCAAATTCATTTTACATAATATATTAAAATGGTAGGCTTTTTGTGAAATTACTAATATGATTTTGCAAGTAGACTTTTCAGTAACTGATTTTTATTTGTATCTGGGGATTTTGGGCCTTATTTTAGGCAGCTAACCCAGGTTGTTTTCTGGAAGATTTTGTGCGGTGGTATTCACCCCGGGATTACATTGAAGAGGAGGTGATTGATGAAAAGGGCAATGTGATTCTGAAAGGAGACCTAAGTGCCCGAATGAAGATCCCAAGCAACATGTGGGTAGAAGCGTGGGAAACAGCTAAACCAATTCCTGCTAGAAGGCAAAGGAGACTCTTTGATGATACCCGGGAAGCAGAAAAGGTAACTGAGGTTTGGGTCTCTCCTACTAAACTAACTATTGTTGCATTTTAGAAATTATCATAGTACGTATTTGGGTCTCTGATACTAGACTGATTATTGTTGTGGCATTCTAGAAATCATCATAGTACATAAGAGCTTTGGACACACTTGAGAAGCAAAGCATTGAAATTCACTGAGTCTTTTTATATATCTTGTATTCACATTTAAGATTTTAGAGCTATTTGCAAATAGGCCAAGAGAGGCATGCATAGTTTATGTGGAATGCTTCCCATTACATTGCCCTGCAGTGTATGTCAAAACATTAAAGCTGGCCGTGTCTTTTCTTTCTTTCTTCCTTTTTTTAAAAATTGCCAGAGGGCACATGTGCTCATGGGAGTGAGCAACCATACCCCATGGGGCATGGTCATACTGCAGCCCTTTTTTCATCTCTTCTTCTATTTGGGCATGTACCACATGTGCCCAACATGTTTCTCAAGTTGTTGGGTCTAGGCCTGAAACCATGTGATTGGTCACATGGGATCCAGTTGCTTAACCACTTGGCCATGGAGCCAGCCTGGGTGTATCTTTTGTCTTGGCAGTTCTCCTACCAAAAAAAATTTTTAAGGAAATAATGAGAAAGATCACACAAAGATCTATGTATATAAATGATTTTCAATAAAGTTCTTTAATGAAAGTAGAAACCAACCAAAATTTCCAAAAATAAGTGTTTGGCTCAATAGATTATGGTATAGCCATTTAGCAAGAAAGAAGGCAGCCAAGAAAATGAAAATGGGGTAAGAGTAAAAGGAGTTGGAGAGAAAGTAGTAGAAATGAAAGATAATACATTTGGAGTTCCGGAGAATAGTGGCACCTGCCTGATACAAAATTGCCCTGCATATCCTCCGAAACCTCCTTCAGCCCCACCAAAAACTCCTGTGAAATCAATACATAGAATAAATAAATTTATCCCTTTAGCATTACTAGGAGGTAGAGATTACAGTGATCTTCAAATTACAAGGAGAGAAATAAGCTGAAGGTCAGTGGAGCTCTCATTACTGGAAGCCTCTGGATGTAGTGAGCGGGGGTAAGGAGTCTTGAGAAAAAGAGCCAAGAAATACTGAGGAGTTAGACTAAGTACAAAGTAACCAGAAGGAGCCTCACACTGTGCCAGCATACTGAACATAGTAGGGCTTGGTAGTTCACAGCACTAGCTCTAGCAAGGGGGACCAAATACAAAGAGGACAAAAGTAGAGCCTTGGGGAGAATCAGATACATGAAGAAGAAATGGTACCCCTTGGAAGTAAAGCAGTGAAGGAAAAGTAGAGAGGTGAAAGTTAAGGATCCTGCAGACACGAAAGAGAAACAAGATAATCCCCCTCTAGCTCCCACTGTCTATTAAAGAAACTGCCCCAGAGGGCACGGCACCTTCAAGCTGCATGACAGTACTAGGGAGAGGAAAGAGCAGGCCACACCCATACAAAACTACTTTTAAAAAGCAAGAAACACAGACTAGGTAATTTTAGCTCATGAAGCTACTTCTCAGAAAATTGGCCATAAAGCAGAAGAAAATTATCCAAACTGAATCAGATATCCACAAACAATTATAGAGTACAGGAAAAAGCATGTGTACTCAGAAATACTAAAACTGAGCAGAAATCGACCAAAAAAAACCCCAGAAAGAAATGGAACCATAGCTGATTTGACTCAGAACAGAGCTAGAATAAAAAACAGTCACATAAAAAAATGAAGACAAAATTGCAAGGGGCTCAAGAGAGAATATTTAAATGGAATAAAAGGCACTGAAGAAAAGCAATAAGGCAGCTAAAAAAATGAAAATGGGATAAGAGTAATAGGAGTTGGAGAGAAAGTAGTAGAAATGAAAGATAAGAAAAATAGGAATAATAATTATTTTATTAATGTCCTTGAAGGAGAAAAATCAGAATACTAACAACTAATATTTAAAATTTTAATCCATGAAAACCCAAATTTACATATTGAAAGATCTCACTGGGTACAGGGGAATATGTACACACACATATGGAGAGAGACAGAGAGAAAGAAAGAGAGAGAGAGAGGGGAAAAGTGAGAAAGCAAGCCATCAAGTCCAGGACTCGAACAGTAGTTGGCCATGTGAAGGTATAGCATGTGGGCCCACCATACCACCTGCTGAGCCCAAAAAAGGACTTTTAACATGTTACTCTCAATACAGGACAGTTAAGTGGACAAAACTAAAGAACAATCTAAACAAGATAATCACTTAGGTCGACCTTTTACATGGATATCAAACACTATACCCGATAACAGAGCATGTACCTTCTTTTCAAATTTTCATGAAATAGTCACAAAGAATGGATATTATATTAGGACATAAAACAGTAGGTTTCATCATAAAACTATTTACAGCCAATAGTCTGATCTCAGCAATAAGACTAGAAATTAAGCACAAAACCGAGGCCTTCTACCTGGGAGTTTAAAAACTTTCTATTATAAAATGCATGGGTGAAAGGGAAAATACAAAGAGAAATTAGAGAAGCTCTGAAAAATAACAAAATAAAGGATATATTTAATTAAGAAGTGATCAAGGAAAGTCCATAGCCTGAAACACCTATATCAATACAAACAAAAGAATGAAAATAGATTAATTAAATTCCTAACTCAGAAATCTAGAAAAAGAACAACAAAAGAAAACCAATTAAAGGAAATACTTTAGGAAGGAGAGAGTAATGACATAATTTGATGAAAATGGCACTAGACCTCTCTTGGTCTTCCAAAAAGTTCATAACCCAGTTTAATCATGAGAAAAACACCAGATAAACTCCAAATAAGGTACTTTTTACAAAATACCTGACTAGAACCTTTTAAAACTGACAAGATCATTAAAAACAAGGGAAGTCTGAGAAAGTGTCATTGCCAAGAGGAGCCTAAACAAATGACAATGACACATGATGTGATATCCTGGATGGAATCTTGGGATAGGAAAAGGACATTAGATGAAAAACTAAGAAAAGCCTAGCCACCATGGTGCAGGCAGTGAGTGGAGTGCTGTTGTGTGTTACTGGAGCCATAGGGAAGGCCCAGGATTTGGGAGTAACTACTATTGAGTATTGGGTTTCTTTTCAATGTGATTAAAATCATCTGGAATCAATAATGCTGCTGGTTATGTGACCTTGTAAATATGCTAAAAACCAATGATGTGTCTATTTTAAAGTGGTACATTATTTTACAGTATGTGAATTATATCTCAGTTTTTAAAAACTAAAGACATCTAAATGAAGTATGTAATTTAGCTTACCAAGGTGGGGAGATGAAGGGCAGACCATACTAAAATGTCGGTGTTAACATTATAAGACAGACTGAAAAACCATTCCAGATGAATTGCAATTAAAGTGCTTGACCACTGAAGGCAACATGGTCCTTAACTAGATCCTGTACTAGTGGTAGACATTGTTTATAAAAGACCTTACTGGGTCAGTTGACAAAATTGTAATAAAGATGGTGGGTTAGATTAAGACTATTTTATAACTGTTTAATTTACTTTGCTTTATATAATCAAAATAAGTTCTGATTATATAAGAAAATATTCTTAATTTTAGGAAATACACACTGAAGTATTTAGAGATAAGGAACATGATGGATGCAATTTACTTTGAAATTAGAAGAAAATATATGTCTATAGTGTGTACACACAGCCAAAGAACAGGGAGAGACACACAGTGATCAAAACCAGATGAGGTGGGACTAGCAAGTGGCATGGTGGTTAAGGCACTAAACTTCTACATGGCCAACTGTAGTTTAAGTCCTGGACCTGGCAGCTGACTTTCCTACTTTCCCTCTCTCCCTCTCTCTCTGGTGAAATTAAATAATAATAATAATAAATAAAATAATAATTATTTTTTAAAAATTCCTTAAGAAAGTAAAAAAAAAACCAAACAAACAGATGAGGAGGGCTGGCCCCATAGCCTGGTGGTTAAGGGAGACAGACACACCCCATATGGCTGACCATGTGGTTCCAAATCCCACACCTGGCGACTTGGAAAACAGGCTGGGTACGTGTGCGTACGTGCTCAAAATCCCAACAGGGTGGAGAAATGGAGAAGGGATTGTGATGTGACCATACCCCATTGGGGTTGCTTTCTCTTCTCTCCCCATCTCTGGCAAGCACATGCATCTCCTGGCATATTTTTTTAAGAAAGTAAATGAAAAGAAAAAGGGAGAAAAGGAGATTACAAATGAGTTATTTTATATCTTTAATAATAGTGCCCTTAATGTACTATGTACATTTTCAAAAAATTTTGAATTTTCTATTTTTTTTAAATTGACAGATAACATTGTATGGTTTTATCCTACAATGTTGACGGTTAAAGCTAGATAATTAACATTACCTCACATAATTATCATTTTTATGGTGAGAGCATCCATTCTATATTTTTCAAGAATACGTCATTAGTAACTGTCATCACCTTGCTGTACAATATCACATGTATTCTGCGCCTTACAAAATTCCAGAATGAAAATGCTCCACTGCTAATCATTGTTACCACTCAGTAGTGTACTTTATATATGTTTTTAATTTTCTTTGTATTTTCTAATTCACTTATATTGGATTGTCAGAAAAGTCAGTATTTTTCTATGCAAAAATGTGTCATGACTTTTCTGATGATCCAATATAGCGTATGGAAGCTGAAAAAAAAAAGGGGAAATATTTATGATTATTGAAGATTGAGGTTCTTAGTGCTCTCAGGAACATTATTCTTACCTTCAGACATAGTTGTTCCTTACCTGGGGAGTCAGGTAGGTACTAAAAGAAGAGAAGAAAGCTCTTCGCCCTCTTGTCCGGGATGTGAGCTGAGTGGTCTGGCTGGGATCGTGTGCCCTGTGCCTGTGCTGATCCTGTGGCTGTCACACCCTCTCAGGTGCTGCACTATCTGGCCATCCAGAAACCTGCAGACCTAGCTCGGCACCTGTTGCCTTGTGTGATTCATGCAGCTGTACTCAAGGTAAAGGAAGAAGGTAAATGTCTTCTTTGATGAGTCATTAGTTCATTTCCAAAATAAAAGTATATTTTACTTAATTTATTTAATGACGGCTTTGATCTTTTTAAAAATAGAAAGTCTGGAAAATATTTCTTCGGTTAAGAAGATTATAAAGCAGATAGTATCCCATTCCAGTAAAGTTCTGCACTTCCCCAATCCAGAAGACAAGAAATTGGAAGTAAGTGTGAAGTAGTATCAGAATCTTGCCAGGTATTTTCCCCACTTGGCAGTAATTATTTTAGAGATGCTGTTTTTGTAGGCTTTGCTTTTTTGCTGTCTTTCAATGTACATCTCTTCCTTTCCCACTGTTAGGAAATCATCCATCAAATTACTAGTGTGGAAGCTATAATTGCTAGAGCCCGGTCACTAAAAGCCAAATTTGGAACTGAGAAATGTGAACAAGAAGAAGAAAAGGAAGATCTTGAAAGGTAATTGCTATTTGGTTTTATGTTTTGTTGGTGATGGGAAAAGCCACCACTCTTTTTAGAAAAATTGTAATAGAAGATCGAGACCTTTTTGTAGTATTCATATATTATTTGAAATAGGCATTGACTAGAGACAGAGAAATTTAATTATCATAGGATTTGACCTTTTCTCTGAGTATCTGTTGGTGTTTCCATTCCACCTACTTTTAGAAACAGTTCACCAGACCCACTTTCTCTAGGGATTCCTTTGCTTGCTCTTGAAGATGCTGTACCTGAAGTCGCCTGTGGAGGCGCTATTGACCTTCTTACTCACAGTGCTCAGAAACTTGCTTTCAGCCCCCTCTGTCTTGACCAGTGTCAGCGATTAAGAAACTCTCTGATCTCTAATCCTAATTATTCATTTTATTTGTGATAGCCAAGGTGCACATCTATGTAGCCTAAACTGTGTTTTGAGTGACCAAATGGCTTCTCTCAAATGAGGCAGTGATTGGAACAGTCTTTTCCTCTTTGTGGGACACACTGTTCCTAAGGGAGCCTGTGTCTCTGTTAGTCCTTGTCTATTCTTTTTGTTTTTGGCTGTGTTATTTAAAAGGACAATGTTACTTTACCAGGTGATAAAGTGTTTCTAAATTACCTTGTTCTGCAGCTTGAGTTTGTTATAATTTTTAAATTGTCATCAGACTTTCCATGAGAAAATGAATTATTGATGCTAAATAATTAATGCTATATGACATATCTTTAACAAGTTCTTGTTTGAATTTTATCTCTTTTATTAAGTGAAATTTTCTCCCAGTCTACTTTTACTCTTAAAAATTCCTTCCTTTTAAATGAGAAAAATAGGCTGTAATCAAGGGAGTTGTTTCTAAAATAGCAGTATGGATTAGGGAGCAGGTGGTACTGGTGGCTCTGTGCCTTTGGCTCTGTCAGTCCTACAAGACCTAATCTGTGATATTCTTGAAAGCACAGTGTTTCTAGCACATAATGGCACAGATTACAATCGTGACTTTATCCAGCACAAGTTATATTTTAATCATATACAGCTTAAGTAAACAAAAACGAATATGAATCATTGCTTTACTGGAAAAATAAAATTTGGTTTCTATTGTCCAACAATGTTTACTTCCGATAGTAGTTTATAAGCCTCTAGTCTAAAAAAAAAATTAGGCTGAGTATTTCTTCTTACACTTTGACAGAGATAGACTTTTAAAAATTTTGTGGAGACAGCTGACAAAGTAGTAAGATTGTCAGTTGAGTTAGTTTTAATTCCAAATGTCAATCTAGCCTATTTTAAATTTCCACTCCAACGTTGGTAGGTTTAGCTCATATCAATTTGAGGATTTGTCAACAAAACCCATCTGGGAAGATGGGCACAAAGTGGCCTGAGCAGCTTGGTTTCCATCCTATATTGCTTCTCTTTCCTAGATTTGTGAGTTGCCTATTGGAGCAGCCTGAAGTATTGGTCACTGGTGCAGGAAGAGGACATGCCGGCAGGATCATCCACAAGCTGTTCGTCAGTGCCCAGAGGGTAGGTGAGATTCCTGTTTGACTCTTAACCATGACCTCTCCAACCTCGACTTGGGAAGAGGCTGTCTTGATCCCCCCGCATGGCTGATTGTACAGCCACTGAGCTAAGTCACTGGGCTTGAACACAAGAAACAATGCTTCTGTGACTTCTGAGTTTTTGAGACCCATTTGCTCTCCAACATGTTTTAAAGTAAAGTAAGTAAAATGATAAGGATATCTTAGGCTCTAAAGTTAAGAAATTAAAAGAGTCTGAAGTCCATTGCTACAGAAACTGGCAGGGACTTTGATAGCAATGGCCTGTGCTGTGCTGCAGAGAATATGTTTATTACTTTCAAGGTAGAATAGAGGTTAGTTTTACCATCTGTAAATCCAATGTACTTTAAAAGTGGATTCCCACTCAGCTTGAATTGTAAGTCTAACTAGTTTTTTTTTTTTTTTTGGAGAGATTTTCACTGTAGGGCGCGTGCGCTCGCCAGACAGAGAGAGACATAGAGACAGAAAGCGAGAAATCACCCCCCAGGGGGGATGGTCACGCCGCAATCCCTTCTCCTCCATTCTCCTCTCGGGATCTTGGGCACGCACGCACATGCGCCCGGCGTGAGTTTTAAGCCACCGGGTCCAGGACACGAACCACGGTCGACTACGTGGGAGTCCAGCGACATAGCCATTATGCTAACTGCTGGTTCCCATGTCTAACTAGTTTTGTAATGGTGAAAAGATCAAACTTCAGAGGCTTCTTAGAAAGAAGGAAGATTATAGATTTTTAGGTCCACGAAAACTTAAGTTTCATGAAGGCTAGCAGGTGGCATGGTGGTTAAGGCACTGGGCATTCCTACACCATGGTTCAAGTCTTGAACCTGGTGGCTTGCTTTCGCTTTCTCTGTGGTCAAAATTAAAATAGATGGATGAATGAAAATAATAATAATAATAAAAGAAACCACTTAAGTTTCAGCACAGAAAGAAAGCCCAGTCTGAAAAATTATCTTCATTATTATCTCTACTAGTACATGTAAAGGTTTTAAAGTTATATAATATAACCTTGGTTATGTGTAAGAGGTGCTGGCATTCACAAATGATCCTTGTTGCAGGGCTCATTAATATTAGGGATCCTGATTCAGGGTTTCTCTTACCTGGAATGACCCAGTTTTAAGAGTTTAATTCTCAGAATCAGATAAGAGAAAGAATTTCCGTGGGTTTACATATGGAATAACAATTTCATAATCTCTGTTAAAGTTGATCTGAAGTACATCTAGTGAATGTATTCAGAATCACAGCCAAATATTCAGATGTGAATTTTTAGCTAGAGCTGAAAACTGAAATTATTTATGGGGTAGCTCCCTACACTTAAGAATTTCAAATTAAAAGTCAAATATCATATTTCCTTATAAATTAGACTCCTAGAAAACAATAGATGCTTGCTTTGATTTATTTTGTTTTTGTCTCTGAGATGAAACCAAGAACTGAGTTTGTCTTCATATCCTATGATAACTTTGCCAGCTCACTACCCATAAGCTTGCAAGTACATTTCCCTGTTACCACCAATATGAATTTTCCTCACATTGCAAAAGCTCTTTCCTCCATCATTTTTGTAAAAAAAATTTGTGCGTTAAGAGGATTTAAAATCTGAAGTATTTATATTTTTAGTGCTGAGAGTGTTACTTGTTTTGAATAGTTAAGCAAAATTACTTTCTGCAAAATGGAAGTAGCCTTCCTTTCTTTATTATGGTTAACCGGTAAATTTCTGAAGCTTATTCATGTAACTTTTATTTTAATAATTAACTGATACTTGCATCAACTTTATTAATAATTCAAGATTTTAACATATTTTTTACAAAGTTATGAAATTTCATTGAGAATTTTTATAGCATAGTAAATTGCGTATTTTCAACTTTTTCTTAAAATTATAAATTATCATAAACTTGATCATGATTGTATGTGTCTGGTATGTATTTAAGTGGAATTCAGCAAACACATGACTGATTAGATTTTGTTTCAGTCTTGCTAACTGAATAACTCTTAGATACCTACTCTTATATTCACTGGATTATTTATTGTTCAAGTCATGAACACGTTTTTTATTAGATTGTCAGGACAGACATGTATTTTGCTATGCAAAAGTGTGTCATGATTTTACTGACAATCCAACAGCATGTTGAGTCTTCAAAAAAAGAGTTAAGGTTTTGTGAAATCATTTCCCCATTAAATGACACTGCATGTAACCTGTTGAGCTGTCAGATGCATGAGTAGTGTGGGGTATGTCTACGCTGTTTGACATTTGGGTGTGTTGTATGTGGTGTGACTTTGTCTTGAATATTCTTTTGATCTTTTGACAGGATCATGTTCTTTATGTAGTGCACGCTGTCTCTGAAATAATCTCAATCTCTTGTCTAGCCCTTTTAAAGCCATCTTGCTTGTTTCTCTTTCATCACTGTTTCTTTTTTCACCCTTTCTCAAGCTGACTGAATCTTCCGATGAGGTAACAAAATAGCTTTTGTCCCTCATAGTCTCTGTTCTTTCCCATCCCTCTAACTTCATAAGGCCATTAAAACTAACAACTTCTTTGAATAGTCTGGGTTGGGCATACCTTTCTGCTGATGTCTAGCTTAACATGATTTCATGTTTCCTTTGCCAAAACAATATTTTTTTTTCCAAATTAAGGTTATGAAAAAGGGATAGTGATCAAGTGAAAAAATGAAGGCTCTGATTGAATATCTTTTTAATGTCATTTTAATGAAAAAATAGATACCTTTAATATTGAGCACTTATCTCTTGTGGCCATTGCTATATGGACCCCTCTCATGTCTGCATCACATTAGCTGCCCAGCAAACACAACCAGTGCCCTCAATTTAATTTGGCAAATGAATCTTAGGAAGAAATGATTTAGAGCCAAGATAAAATCATCCTTCCAGACCCTGGGGAGAAACTGCTCCTTACTGGACGGAGGAGATCAGCCTTGGAATCAGGTCGCTGCTCGAGGAAATGTACAGCCCCCAGGACAGCTCTGTGACCCCTTTTCATTAGATGTCTGATACAGCCCTCACTTTGCAAAGCAGATTGCCTGGCCGTCATCATGCCTGTCTCTGTCACCAAGCTGGCTGCTCGTGCAGTGTTTCAAGCTTCTTGCCTTTTCTTTTCTTTTCTTTTTTCTTTTCTTTTCTTTTCTTTTCTTTTCTTTTCTTTTCTTTTCTTTTCTTTTCTTTTCTTTTCTTTTCTTTTCTTTTCTTTTCTTTTCTTTTCTTTTCTTTTCTTTTCTTTTCTTTTCTTTTCTTTTCTTTTCTTTTTTTTTAAGGTTTTGGCCATAGGGTACATGTGTTCTCTAGAGAAAGCTAGTTAGGGGAAAAGTGAGAAATCACCCTTCAGGGAGGATGGCCATGATGCAATCCCTTCTCCTCCACTTTGCTCCTGGGATTTTGGGCACACGCACTTGTGCCCAGCATGATTCTCAAGCCCTCCAGGTCCAAACTGCTATGTCGGAGTCCAGCGCTTTAACCACCATGCCGCCTGCTAGCCCTCCATTCCATTCTTGAGGTCACTCCAAAATGGTTGCGGCATTTATTTTCTAGACTGTCTTTCCAACTAGACTAAGCTTGCTGAGGCCTTTGGTTATGGTGCATCTTATGTGCCTCTGCTTTGCCAGTACTTAGGTGAGTGGGTCAGAGCAAGCCAGGGAGAGTTTGCCGAATGAAGAAGGAATTTCCACCAGTGTTCTACAGAGGGGAAGTCAGTTGGACAGCAAAGTGTATTTATTTATTTATTTTCACAAATAGGACTTTTTAGTTGTCACTATTCGAAGTCTGAAATTTAACAGATTCTTGGACTGGTGGTTCATATCCATCAGCTCATTCAACTTTAGTGCCCGGCTCATCCCCAGTAGCTTCTCCAGAGCTACTTCCTTTGCCATGAAGATCCATGAGTTTTCCCAGTTCAAACCTGGGCTTCTTCAGCAGTTTTACTTTCCTGATGCGATCAGGACATCATGGAGAAGGTAGGTAGATTGGCAGCCTTTTTCGTGTCTTCCCCAGTGCTGTCTGGAATCTGTGTATTGACCACTTCTTTCCAGTCATTTGTTTGGCACCTCCTGCATCATGGTTTTCGTTATCTTATTTGGGATTTGGAAGACCTGCTAATGCTGACAATAAGAGGCTTCCATATCCATATTTACTTTTATTTATTTATTTATTTATTTATTTATTTTAATTTGACAGAGAAGGACAGAGTAAGAGAAAGAGAGAGAGAAGAGGAAAGTGAGAAAGCAAGCTGCCAGGTCCTGGACTCCAACTGTGGTCGGCCATGTGGGAGTCCAGCACCCTTAACCACCACGCCACCTGCCAGCCCTGCAATTGTGTTTTTTAGTAAACCCAACACAGAGGAGACAAAACAAATAACCATCGGTAGTCTTGACATCAATATGAGCTTCAGTCGTGGTCTGTCATCTTTTGACCATGGAACACATGTTATCCTGGGTAAGATCCATGCCATGGAAGTTAGTCAGACAGTTTTTGCCCTAAACATCCTCAGTAATTAGGTTGAATTTCCTAAACATGACTTCATCATTCTGCAGATCCCAAGGCTCGCTACAAACACACAACCCATAAGGCTGTCAGATGCAATTTTGGTTCCTTCAGTCCTGGTGACCAGTGTTTTCCCAGTATTTCTTATGCTGAACATAGCAGGTGCTTTCATGTCATACCAATATTTTTTAGAAAATTGATCTTGGCTCCCTTTTTGGCACTTTTTCATAAGGCCCTTATTTCTATCAACAGTCCCATACTACTCAGAGAGCCAAAAGGGCCAGCAAAGTATATTTAAAACAACATTCTCACTGGCCTAATTCTTTCTTGTACCAGGACAACATTTTGGGAATTTGGGCTGGAATGCTCAAGAAGAACTTTCAAGATGGAACGAGATGTTTTTAGCAGCTAAGTGTGGTTAAAAGAGCACAGGCTTTGGAATTACGTGTCTGTGGATTTAAATCCTAGCTCCCCAATTTATAAGCTGCGCATTCTAGAGTCACTTATCTTCTAAGTCTTCAATGTCCTCGTGTATAAAATGAGGGTAATTGGGATTTTTACCGAATGGGGTTGTTATGACCTTTGCCAAAACAATATTTTTTTTTCCAAATTAAGGTTATGAAAAAGGGATAGTGATCAAGTGAAAAAATGAAGGCTCTGATTGAATATCTTTTTAATGTCATTTTAATGAAAAAATAGATACCTTTAATATTGAGCACTTATCTCTTGTGGCCATTGCTATATGGACCCCTCTCATGTCTGCATCACATTAGCTGCCCAGCAAACACAACCAGTGCCCTCAATTTAATTTGGCAAATGAATCTTAGGAAGAAATGATTTAGAGCCAAGATAAAATCATCCTTCCAGACCCTGGGGAGAAACTGCTCCTTACTGGACGGAGGAGATCAGCCTTGGAATCAGGTCGCTGCTAGAGGAAATGTACAGCCCCCAGGACAGCTCTGTGACCCCTTTTCATTAGATGTCTGATACAGCCCTCACTTTGCAAAGCAGATTGCCTGGCCGTCATCATGCCTGTCTCTGTCACCAAGCTGGCTGCTCGTGCAGTGTTTCAAGCTTCTTGCCTTTTCTTTTCTTTTTTCTTTTCTTTTCTTTTCTTTTCTTTTCTTTTCTTTTCTTTTCTTTTTTTTGAGTATTCACAACATAGAGCTGACTGCATTACCGAGTAATGCAGGACATTTGTATGTATTTATCCTGTTTCTTCACTTGTCGTTCAAAAATATCTTTTTAGCATTTGACTTGCTTTTTAATTTAGCATCTGATTCTGTTCAAGGCTGCAGCCATGGCTCTACCAGAGGAGGAAGTGAAGAGGATGGGCTCCCCTGAGGAAAGAAGGCAGAACTCCGTGTCAGACTTCCCCCCTCCTGCTGGCCGGGAGCTCATTTTGCGCACCACTGTGCCACGCCCTGCTCCCTACTCTAAAGCTCTGCCGCAGCGGATGTACAGTGTTCTCACCAAAGAGGATTTTAGGCTTGCGGGTGCCTTTTCATCAGATACCTCCTTCTTCTAAGTCTTCCGGCATTACCTCATCACTGGCATAAGGAGACAGTGCTGCCTCCTACAATAGGGCAGGTGAGCCAGGGAGAACCTGAGAGGTCAGGGAGAGGGCCCTGCTCAGTGAGTGAACAGGAGTCATACCAGCACCTGATCGACTTCAGAGGAGATGGGATTGAGCTATTGAAAGATTTCTGCCTCGGAGAAATGGCCTTTGGTTTATGGGGAGAAAAATAAAACAGAAGCAGCAGGAGCTCTCTGCATTCACTCTGGCAGGATAACGTTCATTTTATTCTCTTTCATGATGCCCTCTAGGCTACTGCCTTGCCTTCATAGTCTCTATAAACACTTAATGGTTATATTTACTAGTATCAAGTATACAAAATAGAGTATCTATTAACTCAGATTTCTGGATATTTTGGTGGTAGTTTCTAGTCCCAGAATCTGTGTTTTTAAAATATTACATGACATTCTATATTGTTTATTCAATCACCTGGTGGTCATCTTTATTATACTAATAAACTTTTGATGAGCATTTTTAATATTCTAGGGGGAAGCGAAGATTTTGCATAGTTTCTGTTGTTCCATGTAACTGTCACCTAAATGTATTCCTTCTGATAAAACTGTATATTAAATGTCACTGCACATTGTTTTTTTATATATCTTGTAAGATTTTTTTTTTCCTACTTGCTTTTTCATCACCATATAAGTTAATTAGCCTGCAAAGTGCTGTCCTCCTTTTTCTTGCCGTATAGAAGCATGTGTTCCTTCTCTGTGGCTGCTGGCTGGGCCCTCTATGTGAGGCGGTAGAAATGAACACACGCAGGAAGTACAGCCTTGGTACAGAGGCTATCATGCAGCTAGTGTAATTGGATATATGTGCTAATGTAATGAATAGAATATTATTTTAATGCTCTGTTTTGCTTTTGTATTTTAGTTAAAATGATCTGTGGGGATGGGTAATAGCTAGTGTAAGCATAGCAGCACCCTATTTCTAGTTATGTGAGGATCAAGCCCTAGTAAGTATGTGTGGCCCTGTGGCCTCTGTTTTAATCTTATTTTTAGGCCTAAATTTTCCACTTTGATGCAAAGTAAAAAAAATGATTATATGTAAAGCATAAACATTGCCTGTGTAACTTCAAAGAATTGATAGCGCTCTGCAGACCCTGTTATATTATTTTTGTAAAAATATATATATATACACACATATACTACATATATAGTATGCTTATACACACATAAATGTATACATATATAGGTGTCTCTCTCTCTCACACACACACACACACACACACACACACGAAGTAGAGGAGGCCCTGTTTGATCTCGAGGCTTCACGAAGCCTTTCTCTGAGATGCTGGACTTCACTGCTGCTGCTAAACCATGCAGATGCAGGCCTGAGGACTGAGTGCTGGACCAAGTAGAAGACATTTCTTTCAAGGACAGAATTTGTCTGCATTCTAATGAGGAAGTTAATAACAAAAGAAAAATTCTTCAAAGGAGTGGTTGGACTTTAAGAAGATATTTTGAATTTAATAAAAAGGAGCGTGTTGCTTTCTGTGGCTAATTTTCTTATTTTCTCCCCATCTGACGGGCATTTCAATCTTATTTCACTTATTTCATGCTGTCTCATATCTCCCTAATGATTTGCAGTCTATGGAGTCTTGCAAAGCAGTGGTCTTGAAAACATTCTTTGTACTATTTTATTTATAGTTTTTGCTATAGGGGACACACACACACACCAGAGAGAGAGAGAGTGAGAAATCACCCCTAGAGGGGATGGTCACACCGTAATCACTTCTCCTCGTTTTCTTCCTGGAATTTTTGGACACACATGCACATGTGCTGAGTATGATTCTCAAGTTGCTGGGTTTGGGACTCAAACCATGGCAATCAGAATGTGAAATCCAGTGCCTTAACCTTCATACCACCTCCTGGCCCTCTTTTTGCCTTTTAAAAGCAATTACCCCATTCTATTTATTTATTTCATGGTTATGTGTTTATTGCACATTTTCAACTTCCTACTTTGTGTCAGGTTCTGTATTACAACGAAGATAAAACAAACTGAACAAACTCTCCTTTCCACATCTTCCTGTCAGATGGGAATGATATGTGATGTTGCCATAAAATGTAGAACACCATCAACTCAACTGTGTGAACTGAAAGGTCAACATTTATCACAGAGAATCTGGTCCTTCATTCATTGAGAAGTCTTTGTGCGTTGGGGCCTTCCTTGCCTTCTGGCCGAGGACCTACCTGGAGGATCTTGCTGAGAATGAGGCAGATATGTGTGCTGTGTAGCCACAGCTAACTGACAGGAGGGGCAGGCACGGTGTGCTAAGCAGAGGAAATAGTGAACAGAAACGTGGAAACAAGATGTATGTCTGAGAAAGAGCCAGCATTTCTGTTTGACTGAGATGTAGGAACTGGAGTAGGAAGGGGCAAGAAATGAACATGGTCAAGCCACAGCAAAGAGTTTGGGCTTCATTTTCAGGGCAGTAGTGAGTCATTGAAGGATTTTAAGTAGAGTAACATGGTATGCTTTAGAAGAACCACACTAAAGCAGGGCAGATTGAATGAAGAGAAGAAGGAAATGTTAGGTCATTGAGAAAGTCATGACATATTTTTCTATGCAAATATGCCCAACGGTCCAATAGATACATATCTTTGGAAGGAAGGCTGCAGTTTTATCTTTTTCTTTCTTTTAAAAAAATTCTCCTCTGTACTTTGTACTCTGCTTTAATGATTCTCATAGCTCCCTAATGATTTGCAGTCTATGGAGTCTTGCAAAGCAGTGGTCTTGAAAACATTCTTTGTACTATTTTATTTATAGTTTTTGCTATAGGGGACACACACACACACCAGAGAGAGAGAGAGTGAGAAATCACCCCTAGAGGGGATGGTCACACCGTAATCACTTCTCCTCGTTTTCTTCCTGGAATTTTTGGACACACATGCACATGTGCTGAGTATGATTCTCAAGTTGCTGGGTTTGGGACTCAAACCATGGCAATCAGAATGTGAAATCCAGTGCCTTAACCTTCATACCACCTCCTGGCCCTCTTTTTGCCTTTTAAAAGCAATTACCCCATTCTATTTATTTATTTCATGGTTATGTGTTTATTGCACATTTTCAACTTCCTACTTTGTGTCAGGTTCTGTATTACAACGAAGATAAAACAAACTGAACAAACTCTCCTTTCCACATCTTCCTGTCAGATGGGAATGATATGTGATGTTGCCATAAAATGTAGAACACCATCAACTCAACTGTGTGAACTGAAAGGTCAACATTTATCACAGAGAATCTGGTCCTTCATTCATTGAGAAGTCTTTGTGCGTTGGGGCCTTCCTTGCCTTCTGGCCGAGGACCTACCTGGAGGATCTTGCTGAGAATGAGGCAGATATGTGTGCTGTGTAGCCACAGCTAACTGACAGGAGGGGCAGGCACGGTGTGCTAAGCAGAGGAAATAGTGAACAGAAACGTGGAAACAAGATGTATGTCTGAGAAAGAGCCAGCATTTCTGTTTGACTGAGATGTAGGAACTGGAGTAGGAAGGGGCAAGAAATGAACATGGTCAAGCCACAGCAAAGAGTTTGGGCTTCATTTTCAGGGCAGTAGTGAGTCATTGAAGGATTTTAAGTAGAGTAACATGGTATGCTTTAGAAGAACCACACTAAAGCAGGGCAGATTGAATGAAGAGAAGAAGGAAATGTTAGGTCATTGAGAAAGTCATGACATATTTTTCTATGCAAATATGCCCAACGGTCCAATAGATACATATCTTTGGAAGGAAGGCTGCAGTTTTATCTTTTTCTTTCTTTTAAAAAAATTCTCCTCTGTACTTTGTACTCTGCTTTAATGATGTACACAAATGCTTGTAGAACCAATATGGAATGTCTTCCCTTTGGGGGACCTCCTATACCATCCACTCTTATACCACTGTAATAACTCAGGTTATTCAGAGTTTTTAAAACTCCATGCATCTGCGTTTATATCTCATTCATTATTCCAGCAAATATTTTTTTAAAAGAATATTCCATTTGTTATTTATTTTTAATTTGACCAAAGAGAGAGAGAGAAAGGAAAAGTGAGAAAGCAAGCCACCAGGTCCAGGACTCAAACCACGGTCGGCCATGTGGGAGACCAGTGCCTTTAACCACTACACCATCTGCCTGCCTCTTCAGCAAATATTGAGTGGCTGCACTGGGCCAAGTATCCTCTTGGGCTCTGGGGAGAGAGGATTGAACAGAATGAGTGGAAGATCTAGCCTCATGGAGACAGCAGTCAGGGATACCAAGTGTCAAACTGTCTACGGGGAGAGAGGGTAATGACACTGAGCAAAGACTAAATACAGCAAAAAGCAGCCTTGTGATTAGAGGCACCAGAGATGACTCCACACACTGGGAGCACACTTGATATGTTGGAGGGGGGGGGTGGCACAAAACAAAAGCCAGGGTGGCTGAAGTAAGTGAAGGCAAGAAAAAGAAAAGAGATTGGAAAGAAAGGAGGACAAAGGCCAGATGACATAATACTTTGGGAGTTTTATGTTTTTTCTTAAGTATGTTCTTTTAAGGTGGGGTGGGCAGAGGTACCCCCAACTGGGATTCTCCTACCCTAGTCTGTCGGGATCACAGGTTGCTGAGTGCCCTGTGCCTTCAGGTTGTCCCAGGATCTAAACCTGGGCTCCTCCCATGTGGCTCCAGCATCTCACAGCAGCACCCCACTGCAGCATCACAGGTGGGCCAAAGGTGGGCCTTTAAAGGGGCAGCCAGTGGAGAGTTCTGAACCCGATGAGTGTTGTGCTGTAACATTTAGAACCCCTCACCTGTCTGCTTGGTGGAGAACAGGCTGCAGAAGTGAGTGGAAACAGAGAAGTGAGTTAGGACAGTGCCAGTTTGGAGAGAGGTAGCAGTAGGCAGGGGGAAATGATCATACTTGGTATATATTTTTAAGGCCGAGTACAAAGAATTTGCTTTTGGTTTCCCTGAAGGTACGAGGAAGGCAGAGTGAGGATGACTAAAGGACTAGGACCTGAGTAAAAGAGGAATCTGAGAGATGTAATGGAAGTACGTTTTCATTTAAGACATGTTACTTTTCAGATATCAATTAGATATCTATAGTAGTCACCCTGGTCCCCAGTGACCCCTGCCTCCTGCTTCTGGGAATCACACGCATACCCTCCACCCACACTGTACCAGGATTGGTCTCTGTGACCAACAGACTATGTAAGAAATGTTGGTATGTCACTTCCAAGATGAACTTCTACCCAAGATTACATTATAAAAGACATTGTTGTAACTTCTGTTTTGTGCGCATGTGTGCTCTCTCTGGTCACTTGCTCAGGTGAAGTCAATTGCAGGACTCAGGGAAAGGCCCTCATGGTGATGAACAGGGTTCTTCCTATAGCCACATGAATGAGCTGGGACCTGGACCATCACGACCCCCATCCCCCATCCCTAGCTGCCTCACCATGCTGCCTCCAGGTTACTGACCCTCAGAAACAGTATGAGATATCTGTTTATTTTAATCTACTGGATTTTGGAGTAATTTGTTGTACAGCAAAAGAAAACTAGTACAATACCCAAGTGGTGGTTCTATACATTTGGAGTTTAAGACAATGGGTAGGGCCTGTGTTATAGACTGGGATCTTCAGCTAGTACCTAAGTCATGAATAGTTGAGACCACCTAAGGTCTGCTCTCGCCTCGGAGAGAAAAGGTCAGGGGATTGAGCCAGTGATGAAGAGGACTCAGGAGTGGTTATTGTGTAGGAGGATAGGAGTGTAATGTTGGAGAGGCCAAGAGGAAAACTATTTCATGAAGATGACCCTGCCACTGCCCCCATTCTTGCCAGCATCTTTCTTCTGGGCACATGGTAATGGGTAGACCAAGCATTCAACAAAGATCCATTGAATGAATGAATGCTTGTCTGGCAAAAGAAGTCCCACTGTTCTATCGGGAATCTTCTGATCTCTTTTTGTGCCACTGGGCACCATGAAACTAGAATACTTCCAAATGTGAACTCCTGAAAGCCAAAGGCAAGGACTGCTGCCAGCATTTCTCCAGTTCTGAGAAGGCCTTAGGCTCAGCCTGTATGCATGGCCGTGGCTAGCCCTCGAAACAGCTTCTTTCTCAGGAGAGAAGAAAAAGTGGAGAACTAGTGATTTCAGGGAAAAAAGAGAAATGAAGATTTTCTACTGATAATTCAGCCTCCAGCCCCCAAACTCGAGTGGTAGGGAGGCCCTCTAGCTTTCTCTCTGTCTCTGTCTCTGTCTCTTTGTCTTCTCATCTTTTGGTAATTTTTCCTTTTTAAAATTTTTTAAGGTAAAGTATTCTCTTGGCTTTCAGTTCCTCCTTTATCTTGCTAATGATCCCCTTTCCCCTCCCTTCCAGGAGAGGCAAGGGACAGGCCTTCAGAAGACAACTCCATCATTGCTGCTCAGAACTAATACTTCTTAAATTTTTTGCTGTTTTTAAAAAAAATTTGGGGGGTATTTTTTTCCCTTCCTTTTCTCTTTCTTCCCCTCCCCCCCCCGTTTCCTTTTCTTTTACT